AAGTAAGACAACGCCCCATCTACTTGGTTTTGCGTTCAGTGTATGCTGTTCCTGCCTGCATTTTATAGCCTGCTGTTATGTGTTGGACTGTCTTTGAGGCCTTTCTGCATAGTCTACACCTCAAGTCTTGTCTGGTGTGGTGGACTCCTGCTTCTATGGATCTGGTGCTTAGTACTGTTTGTGTGTGCTGTGATTAGTGCCTCAGTATTATCTTTTGGTCCAGCCCTCTCCAGACACTGGTAGGATTTTCTAATGTCTGCCATCTCAACAATCTGTGTATGGTTCATCTCATGCAGGGTCTTGTCCATATGGCTTGATAAGACTTCCCATGTTGTGGGAAGGCAGGTTATTGGTTGGTAGTTTGATGGATCTGTTTCCTTATGGGGGACTTTCATTATCAGGACTGTCCTTCCTTGTATTAGCCGGCCTGGGTAGGAACCTGCTACTAGCAGTTGGTTCATCTGTGCTGCTAAGCATTCATGTACTGCTGAATTTTTTTTTTTTTTTAGCCAATACATGTGGTTATTTGCTGGATGTCTGTTAACATGATGGTGACTGGTTCCTGTTCTGGGAATCTGCTCTCGGATCCTGCAGCCACTTTGCATTGATGTTATATGTCTGCTGTTTCTCTTATATCTTCTTCCAATACTCTTCAGTTTCTGCTGTTGATAGATTTGCTATTACTGTATTTTTGCACTGCAGTTTTGAGTACACTTTGGATGGTTCTTTACAGAGGAGGACATTTATCTTCTTGATCGCTGCTTTTCTAGTGTATCAACTTATCTGGCAGCCAGTACCTTTGCTTAGTAGTCTCTAAGACTTCAGATGGAGTCAGGCCCTTGTATTTTTTCATTGATCAAATCTTAACTTTAATATTCACATCCTTCTGTAATTCCACCAGTTGACTAATCTCTCTCTAAGTTGTCTTGGTCTTAGCCTCTAACCTCATTTTCTAGGTGTGTGGGTGTGTATTGTTGTTCTTGATCATGTAGCCAAGCATCTCCAGCATTACAGAGGCTGTAGCATATATCAGTTCATTGGTTTGAGTTATAGTGGTCATAGGAATTGTAGTGAAGGTTTATTAGCATCTTTTAGTATACTATTGGATGATACTTCTGCACTGAGCCTTGACTGCAGCTACTTTAGCCATGAAAAGACTGGACAACCATTTGTCTGGTATAGGGTTTCCTGCCTGAGCAGGAGGTTGGACTAGAAGACCTTCAAGATACCTTCCAATAACTGCTGCTGCTGCTGCTGCTGCTGCTGCTGCTGCTGCTACTACTACTACTACTATTTTTATTATCATCATCATCATCATTATCATTATCATCATTTATTCATTAAACATGAATCTCAGTCAACTGAACATTCAAATTGGCTGGTGCTGGTGGTTGACATGGGTTGCTATCAGCATCCTAGGTGTCAACCAGGTATCTCCTTAAAATATAAGATGTTCCAAGTAGCGCAGTTTTTTGTAACATTGATGGAGTTATTGCAGGAAGTTACAGTTTCTTGATGTATTTTGCAAAATACATTTTGTATTTTTTGGACATAGTTCCCAGTGCCCCGATGACAATGGGTACCACTGTTACACGTTTCATCCATAATCGCGCAATTTCGATGGCCAGGTCGCGATATTTTGTAATTTTTTCCGGTTCTTTTTCTTTGACTCTGGCATCTCCTGATACAGTGATATCAATTAGCTGTATGCTTCAGTTCTCTACAACTGTGATATCCGGCGTATTATGTTCCAAATGGCGATCTATCTGTATTCAAAAGTCCCACAAGATCTTCACCCTCTCATTCTCAACAACTTTTTCCACCCTATGTTCCCACGACTTTTCGGACATAGGCAAGTTGTACTTTTTACACAATGCCCAGTGGATAATTTAGCAACTTGGTCATATCTAGATTTGTAATCAGTTTGCGCGATTTGCTGCACTCACAAATTAAGTGTGAAACAGTTTCAACTTTGTCATTGCAAAGTCAGCAATTTGGATTGTCAGTAGCGAGTTCAGCGCCTGGTTCGGCCGAGCATGGCCCTGGCGCGAGTGAGGTGGATCTAGTGGCTGCAGTGAGAGGGCGCCATGAATGGCTACGGCTCCCCATACCTGTACATGGGTGGCCCGGTGGCTCAGCCGGCCCGGGCGCCCTTGCAGCAGATGCCCAAGTGCACGCGCTGCTGCAACCACAGCGTGCTCTCACGGCTGAAGGGCCACAAGAGTAGCAGTGTGTCATGGCTGCCCAGGTGGGGCTGCGCCGCCAGCAGGCCAACAAGAGCCTGGAGAGCCTTTTGCCCCAAACGCTGCACATCCTGCCTGCCGCCGCCGCCGTCCCCACGCCCTCCTCTGCTACGCCGTCCAGGCACTCCGGAGCAGCGCTCACCCCCACCACACAGGGACGGCCTGTCATGGCGCTGTGGCTACATCCCACGGGCAGAGGGCGAGCCTGGGCAGCATGGAGTCCCAGCTGGGGTGGCAGCCAGCAACGACATCGTTCCCCGGGCCGCCCACCTTGTGCGCCGCCGGCATCTTCGGGCTGGAACCGCTGCAACGGCCTGCCGACCAGTCAGCTCTGTCCACTGGTGACACTGGAGCCTCCCATGCTAGCAGAGGCTTCGGTGGGCCGCTCCCTGGGGGGATAGCAGGGCTTCCCTGCACGGCTCCCCGGCCACGTGCATCTTGGCCTGGGAAAGGGATTTCCTGGCCACCCTTCTCCCAGGGGCGGGGCACCTGGGTGCAGGGCCAATCAGGAGCCCTGAGAGGGGGCAAGTCCCATGAGAGAGAGAGAGAGAGAGAGAAGGGAAGTGCAAGTGCCTCTCTCTCTCTCCCTCTCTCTCTCTCTCTCTCTCTCTCTGTGCAAATGGCAGAGCAGGCTCCGGAGCCACAGGTATTTGTAACCATCATCCTTTGCTAGTGCTTTCACAATACTTCCATTTCCCAGTTCTATTCCTTCTATTTTTGCCATTTTTCCTCGTTGCATGGATAGTACAGCACATTTTCCAAGTTCAAAGTTCATTCTAATGTCGCTGCTAAATAGTTGGACTGCGTTGAGTATTCATTCAAGTTCAGTGTGGCTTTTTGCATACAGTTTTAAGTCATCCATGTACAGTAGATGGTTTATCTTGCCATGCTGGCTTGAGATGTAGTAGCCCAGTTTTGTGTTTTGTAAGATTATTGTCAATGGAATTAATGCGATGTTGAACAGTAGTGGTGAAAGTGAGTTCCCATGGAAAGTTCCTCGTCTGATGTTAATTTCACCAATGTTCTCCCCATTTACTGTTAGGGCTGTTTTCCATTTTTCCATATTTGCTTTCAAAAATGTACAGATATTTTTGCTGATTCCAAAATTTTCCAAACACGCATTGATCCAGCTATGGGCTAATGAGTTGAATGCCTTCTTGTAATCAATCCACGCCATATTTAAGTTCGTTTTCCATCGTTTTGCATTTTTAAGTACCATTTTGTCAATGAGCAGCTGATCTTTTGTTCCTCTTGATTTTTTATAATTTTGTTCTACCGGATACAGACTCTTTTCCATCAGATGATCGAATACTGAATTTGCCAGTATTCTTGTAAAAAGTTTGAATGTTGTTGGCAAACAAGTAATTGGGTGGTAGTTACTTGGTTCTGTGCTCTTTTCTGGGTCCATTATCAAGTATGTTCGACCAGCTGTTAACCATTCTTTACTTGTGGCATTTTGAAGCATTTCATCAAACTGAGTGGCCATGCGGTGATGGAAGCTGGTGAGATCTTTCAACCAGTATCCATGCAGCTCATCCAGGCCATGTGCACTCCAGTTCTTGACCTTCTTTACTTGTTTTGCAACCATATCAGTGGTTATTACAATATTCCCCATTTTGTTTTGTGTTGGATATCTTTGATCCAGGACGCAGTTTTATTATATTCCACTGGGTTTTCCCACAGTTCTTTATTATTATTATTATTATTATTACTATTACTATTACTATTACTATTATTATTTTATGCCTCACATTAGTTGCTCTGCTCTGTAGAGGAGGTGAACGTGATGTTCCAGCTTCAGGTGTTGGCTGCATATCTAATTGTACTTCCAGATGTTCTTGAGTTCATGTGTTATGTGTAGTTGGTCTTTCTCAAGTTGTGAGAGTAGCTTCCTTTTACAATGTTGAAGAATCAAGTAACTTAGTTGTTTGTCAGTTAGTGTGGATGTAGGTCTTTTGTCCATCCATAGCTCCCTCATACTGTTCATATATCTCCTCTCATTAAATTTACTGTTGTGATTAGCATTCATGAATTCAGGGTTCTCTTACCTAGTCCATTTATGGTTTGTTCCAATAGTCCACATTGTCAGATTGTCCTGGTTCCCCAACAGCTGACACAGAACTTGTTGACCCAGATGACATCTGTGCTGGCATTACTTTCCTAGTTTGTGTCACTCTCATATTTGAGTGAGGCAGATGAAGTGTTAAGAGGTCTTGCTCAAAGACACGTATTGGTACGTTTAGGTACCAGCTGAGATTCGAATCCTGGCCTCCCATATCAAAGGCAGTGCTCTAATCACTATATTATCTATCTGCGCACACAGACACACTCTCACAGTATAATATGTATATGTGTATGTGTGTATAAATGATGAGGAAGCAGTTCAGTACCAGTTCTCCAGCTATATATCCATTTTTCGGAGTTTATGCTGATAAAATACAGTGCTTTTACCACCTCCACTTTATAAGCCTTGTATGCATAGTTGAGCTTAGATGTGTTGTTCTAGAGTAAAAAGTATTGCTTTTCATGTATTTGAATCTAACTCTCCAAAAATTATGACTGATGCTCTATGTACGTCTCATTTACTCAGGACTCAGACAGAGGGAATATTTAATGTTCTTGGATTTCCATCAACATAAGGAAATCATGTAACAGCTTTAGGGAGTTATTTTCCCTGTTTGAAGATGTTTGTTTTATTTAGAATCTGCTATAATTGGGAATATTTTACTGCTCTTATGAGTTTACTGGTATTTCCAGAGAAAGAAGTCCCAGAAAAGAAGAAAATGAAAAAGGAAGCTGGAAATAAAAAAACAGCACCTGTTAGCATTCTTTTTGGTTACCCCTTATCAGAACGTAAACAGATGGCCCTTCTTATGCAGATGACTGCAAGAGACAACAGCCCAGGTAATAGCAGAACTCTTTCCATTTGTATATAACTCTCTAATCAAGGGCATGTAGAGGGTAAGGTAACATAGCAGGACATTTTGATTTTAATTGGAACTGTACTGCAATTTACTCCTGATTTGGGATAAATGGGATAATAGACCAACTTTATTTTAAAAATTGAATTACTTCACTTGTACTCTGACAATTAATGTAACATGATTAATCCTGAGACACCTTTCATGACAAAAAGCTTTACTAAGTACTGGGACATGTATTCTGAATACACATGCATGGGACTGATTTGTGGATTCAAGTCATGGCTTCATATATTTAATTTGGCAATTAAATTATTTTTATTTTTTATTTGGCAATACTATTTTGCAGATTTATTTTCCCTTCAAGTCAGGCTAGTAATTTTGAAAAAAATGGAGCTTTATTTAAAACTAACACTTAAAAATTTAATCCATTGGGTATTAATAAAAATGCAGTTTATTCTGATCATAATCTGTTTACAAATGTTACATTTTTCCCCCCAAACAATTTTATTGATTTTTCCACTTTTACACTAGAACATTTAAAAAACAACATGGAGAAAGGGTAATCAGGTACAATAACATCATACATATATAGCTCAAATAATGCTCCTTAAAATTTGCCTCTCTAACAATTAGAATAGTATAGTCAAACTAATACATTTCGAAGTAAAATTAATTCATTAATACATTCCTAAATAAGAATTCAATTAATCAATAGACATTATCAGCAACCTTTCATCGATGTAAATCAAACCCTGTTTTTAGATTTATTAATTTCCAAATACTATATCTAACTTAGCCTTAAACAAAAATATTATTTACAATTCGGGTGTCCATAATTTCTCTTATTTAAGCACATTATTTCCATAATTACATTCTTACATTTCTCAACTATATTTTATTTCTTATTCAGTAATTCTTCATTTATTAATTACATCTCTTCCATCATCCACAAATTAGTTATCATAACTAATAATAAAAAAGCATAGGAAAAATAGAAAAAAAAATTAATAGAAAGAAACAAAAAGAGACCAAGAAAAAGAAAGAGAAAAGAAGGAAGATCTATTATTCCAGAATATATATTCTTACTATATTTCAATATTAAATTCTAAATCTTATCCTAAAAATACCTTTTAAAAATCCAAATCCAAATCAATCCACATCTCTATAAAGCCATTGCAACCCATAAATGTAATCTTAAATTCCATATTTATATCTTATTCTAGCTTTCTTTCTGTTCCAAACGGGTTTCCATAGTAAGGCCTCTAAGTCCGCAAATAAAACTCCCTCCATTTTTTTCCATAATGCATAAATCAGGGGAGAATCTCCCATTGTCCATTTTAATAGGCTAGTGAAAAAGTTGTAGTGATTCTCAAAAGTTTGTGGATCCATCTTCGTCTTTTTTGAAGTTGCATCTAGTTTAATTACAGTCATTTTTTAATCATCCAAAGTCTCAATAGATTGTCTATAAAATAATGTAGAGTCTTCTTTAATATTATTTTGCTCTCCTCCTATTGGTTTTTTATCTGTCAGGTAATCAGTTGGAGTCTGGAGATCAGCCTGCTCTTCTGGGGTAACTTCCTTAGTTTCCGTGCTAAAAATCATTTGTTCATTAGCATCAAAAGTTTTTTCCGGTGTAGGTTGATAGTCCTGATGTAAGTTTAATTCCTCCATCTCAGTAAATTGTGGATAAGGTTGAAGACGGGTCTCTTTAGTATATACCCCTTCTGCTGTTTCTTGGCTTACAAAGTGCTCACTTACACCTTGCACTTTGATTTGTTGTTGAAAAATAATCTCTTTTATATAGGCAATTATTTGTTCAATATTTTCAAGAATTTTGTCCAATATATACTTGTAATTGAAATCTGGACAAAGTTCCTCCATTTCAGTAGTATGTAAAGCCATTATTCTTTTGGTGGAGGCTGTATTTAATAACAATCAGTCAATATCCACTTCCACCCAGCTATACAGCTTCTTTATCTTTCCCTTTTGAGATAATTTGAAGGTCAAAGTCAGACTCAGAGTCCAAAGAAAGGGAATAACAATAGTAGTAAATAATTTCACCACAAGATGTCCCCAGAGGGTTAACCAGTTGTTCAGTCTTTCCAGCCCCCAATAAAAATAATTTCTTTCCTCTTTTCCTTTTTTCCTTCTTTTCTTTAGTTATAAAAATAGGAAAAAAATTTCTCCAAATTGCTAGCATATTAAGTTTCTATAACAGGGATTTTAGGACTCCCAAATATTCAAAAATAAAATCAACCATTAAAAAAGTTAAAATTAATTTTTCTTTTGTTCCAAGGCTTTTCTTCCCCCATCAACAAAGCCGCTTTAAAGAGAGAGGGAAATGATTCCAGAGGCTTTTCACAGGAGTAAATAGGAAAGGGAGCGGCAAGGAAAGGTCTCACCGAATCTTCCACGGTAGTTCTGTTTCGCTTAGATGTTCTTGTGGCTTACGGCTGGTGCAGCTAAGTGATCGGCTATTTTACTGACCGATCTTTACTCCGTTGGCCCAAAGGAACTCGCTTGGACTGCAGAGGCCGCCGCCGCCCCTCTGCAGTCAAACAGGCAGCCTCCTCAACGGTGGTCACCCCCTCCAGGGCAACTTTCGACCCAATCAAGGGTCTACCGGCGGGGAAACTCGATCGGCAAAGAGACGAGTCTCTTCGCATGACCGCAGCGCTGTGACCCGGAACCAGAAGCTACAAAATGTTACATTCTTAATTGTTACACTAAACTGGGGAGAGAGAGGGAGGGAGGGAGGGAGGGAAGGAGAGAGAGAGAGAGAGAGAGAGAGAGAGAGAGAGAGAGAGAGAGAGAGAGAGAATGTACAGAAAGAATGAGGAGTACAGTATATCTGAAGAATGAATTTGTTAACATTCATTTTTGCAATTTTTTACTGATTCATAGTTTGTGTTTGTTTTTGTGTAGATCCTAATTTAAATCACCCTTTACAAACAGTGACAACACAAAAGAAAACTCCAAGCTCCTCATCACGCCAAAAAGATAAAGTTAACAAAAGAAATGAACGAGGGGAAACCCCCTTACATACAGCTGCCATTAGAGGTGATGTTAAACAAGTTAAAGAATTAATTAGCCTTGGTGCAAATGTGAACGTGAAAGATTTTGCAGGTAAGTTTGATGAGTAGTCAGTTTTAAGACTATCTGTATTTTACAATTAGTAAAATTATTGATCCCTTATCAAATATGAAACTGAATTCCAGATTTACTGTAAGATTTTTTACAGTATAGGTTTTTAAAAAACAGTGAATTTGAATATTTATAATTTCTCAAAAGCAGGGAAATGGGTAATAGTCATCTTCCCATCTCTCACTTGAGTTCTACAGTCTAGATAGAACTAGATATAGAGTTTCATCTGGCAACTGAAAGATGTCCTCTTTTCAAATAGAATCTAGATGGGACAGAATTCCTCTTCCACAGGATTTTTATCCAGGTCCATTAGGTATAAGTAGTTTGGGAGTGTGTGGCATTAGTACAATCCCAAAAGTGGAGTAACAATGAAAAACATATTTTGATGTTAATAAATGCAATGAAATAGGTACAGGTAATGCTTGAGTTATGACAGCAGTTAGGAATGGAATTTCCTTTGCCAAGGAAATAAAGGTAACATCACATCACTTAGGGACAACAAGTCCTGCATCCCCATTGCTATTGTCAAGCAAGGATTGTGGTCGTTAAGCAAACATCTCCTTGCAACTATAGGCTTTCAATAACCACCTGGGGAATCCAGCAGGAAGTTGCAATCCTCAAGGACTTGCAAGCAGGCTGGGAGGCAGGTAAATGGCAGGTATGTGAGGATGGAGAAGGGTTCGTGGGTTGTCAGAGAAGCATGATACAAGGTTTGTGGAGTGTACACGGGTGGGGGAGATTTACCTGAACAATTTGTGACTTTCCCTGCCGGTTTCCCCATTGATTTTGCTTGCAATCACTACAGGATCCTGTAACTATTGTAAGTACGAGCTGGTTGACAAGTCTCCAGATTACAAACATTACTGCAGGGGTTCAGGGACATTTTAGGTTGTAACTTTAATCATCATTGGATGAGTGGTTGTTAATTGAGGACTACCTATATACTAATCAAATAAGAGCACTACATCAAATTATGCAAAATTAGTAATTATGAATCTGTAAACAAACAAACACATAGAAAATGGAAGCAGAAATAAAGCAACCTGAGTAAAGCAGCATTAAAAAGAAAACACCACTGACATTTCTGCCTACATTTTCTGCACTATGTTTACTGTTTTTGATCCAGTTCTCTAGGACTTTTGAGCACAAGGCCTGAATTCAGGCTAAAATTTGTTTGTAGATTACATATCTTTGGACAAGAATTTCAGAAGATATACCTCATGTTGCTTTTTAGAATAACTAAACATTTTCAAAGAATATTCTTTTAAGATTTAAGTTTCATAACTCTATTAATCGTTAATTATTTTGTATAGGAAATCTGATTTTATCATATTTAGGAACTGCAACCATCCTTGATTCTATCTAATTGTTTTTCATTAGAAAATGATAGTGCCTTTTTAAAACTGGAATTGACAGAATTACCATCTAAACTTCAGTCCCTATAGCTGAAAATAATAAAATAAGACACATCAAAATTAAATAAAAATACAATATTTTCAGTACAATTGTGATCATGCCTAGTTGTAGTTGGATTGGATTTTTTGGTAGAAACACAGTAATATATAATAAATTCATAATGAAGAATGTGTAAGTGCCTCATCTAATTAATAATTTGTTGGGGGAAATGAGAGAATAAAAATAATTAGTAACTTTATGCAACTTAGAAAATACTTTGAGCAATTTCAGCATTGTTCTATAAAGCAATAGGCATGTATTCTGAAAGTCTTTTCTAAAAATATGTAATATAAAAATCATTTGGTTTTTTTTCCCAAAAACAGTTAATATAAAGAATTTTACTCTGTGATATCTTTAGTTTTCAGCAAGTTGCATTTGGAAAAACATAATATATTAAATCTGGCAAATTGTGTTATGTGCAATGTATAAAACAAAACAATACTCTGGCTTTAAAATTACTTGTAGCTTACTTATAAAAATATATTTGTACTACCTGCATTTTGAAAATTTGATAAAGGCAAAACATTAAAATTAAAATTATGTTCTGCCTTTTGTTATAGGTTGGACACCACTCCATGAAGCTTGTAATGCTGGTTATTATGATGTTGCTAAGGTTTTGATAGCAGCAGGGGCAGATGTAAATACTCAAGGCTTAGATGATGATACACCACTCCATGATTCTGCAAGCAGTGGACATAGAAAGGTAGGTATCATTCATGGAAAAATTAAATACATAATATGTGTTTATTTTTAATAAACAAAGCTGACTAAACAGAATGTAACAAAGGAATCCTATATTATCAGTTAGACCCTTGGATATGAATAATTTGTTATCAGCATCATGGCAAAGACAAAGACAATTATTTTACTGTGCATTTCAAGGTATCTATTCAGATAGAGATTCAAATCATATGCAATCACAACCATAATATATATGGCAATAAAGGAGAATTGCAATATAGCTCAACAATATTATCTGTGAAAATATATAATAATAAAGCCACTGGAGAAAGAAGCCTGCAAAGAAACACAGAATCTTCCTAGGTGCTCTCAGCCATCTAAGTCATGGGTGTCTCAAAGGTGCTTTTTTTAAAAAAAAGGCAACTTAACTTTTTCATTTTTCTTTAAGACATTTCACTTCTCATCTAAGAAGCTTCTTCAATTCAATTCAAGTTTCTTGAATGACAAGTGAAATGCTTTAAAGAAAAATCAGAAAGTCCAGTTACCTTTTTTTTTTTTAAAAAAAAAAAAAAGGACCTTTGGGACCCCCATGACCTGGATGACTGAGAATCCGCATAGACCAGTGGTTCTCAACCTGTGGGTCGGGACCCCATTTGGGGTCGAATGGCCATTTCACGGGGGTCGCCAAGCAAGGCTGTCCGCCATTTTTCCCCCTTTTCTTTGGCCACGCCCCTGGCACCCGGTGATGTATAAGTGGTTGGGGGTCACCACAACATGGGGAACTGTATTATGGGGTCGCGGCATTAGAAAGGTTGAGAACCACTGGCATAGACAATCTTCCTAGGTCAATGTTTCAAGAACCTTTATAGGGGAAAAGTTCTTTTATTAAGTTGTGAAGGCAAAGCATAAGACCCAGACAGTTTGGTATGCAATGTCTGGTATCTCAGTTTATAGGAAAGCACGGAATGGAAGTTAGTCCTACTAAAGGGAAATTTATTAAGGGTCAAATTGATGTTGACTCTTAGCAACCACATAGATTTTATCCAGGAGAATCTATCCCCAACCTGGTCCTTCAGGTCCTCCAATAATGTACCCATTGCCACTGTATGTAAGTCCATCCACTTTGCTGCTTGTTCTTCTTCTTTTTCTTCCATCTATCCCAGTACTATAGACTTCTCCAGGAAGTTGGATTTTCATATAATATGCCAAAATACAATAATTTGAGCCCATCATTTGTGTCTCAAGTAAAAATTCAGGGCTGATTTGTTCAGTTATTCATTTTTTTCTCCGTAACTATCTATTGTATTTTCCAACACTAAAGTTCAAAAGCATCAATACTTCTATCATGTTTTAATAAAATACCTGTCGATGTCATGTCAATAATAATAGTAATAATAATAGCAGCAGCAGCAGCAATAATAATAATAATATCCCTGCTCAGGCAGGAAACCCTATACCATTTCAGACAAATAACTGTCCAGTCTCTTCTTAAAAACTTCCAGTGTTGGAGCATTCACAGCTTCTGGAGGCAGGTTGTTCCATTGATTAATTGTTCTAACTGTCAGGAAGTTTCTCCTGAGTTCTAGGTTGCTTCTCTCCTTGGTTAGTTTCCATCCATTGCTTCTTGTCCTGCCTTCATGTGTTTTGGAGAATATCTTGACTCCCTCTTCTTTGTGGCAGCCCCTGAGATATTGGAACACTGCTATCATGTCCCCCCTCGTCCTTCTCTTCATTAAACTAGACAATTCCAGCAACTATTCCTTATATGTTTTAGCCTCCAGTCCCTTATGTCAAAGCCTTTTGTGTGTCATATTTTGAAATAATATTTGCTTTGATTGAATATTTAAAGTTCTGTCAAATCCTATATTTATTTAGTTGGCAGAACTTCATTATAAAGTTATTATGTAAAAATCCTTAAACATTGTATGCTAATATTCAGTGGGTTTTTATAAACTTTTTATATCTACTACAACTTCAAAAACTTCTTTAGAGTAATCACAGATGGCACTTGCCATTTAAGAAGTATCAGGATTTCAACATTTTTCATCATAGCTATCATTCTACCATTTATTGATAGAATCAGTATACATGGGGCATTTTTCAGAGTAACAGTGTTAAAAATAAGATAGATAAGATAGGATAACCTTTATTGTCATTTTTTACTGTGGGCACAACAGCTCACAGCAAAAATGAAATTTAGTTGCCCGCTCTCAAAATGAAACACATACATGACACACACCTAAAACATACTATATACAGGTTAGTGTTTTAAGTTTATTTCCTTTTTTATACATATTTTATTAATTTTTTATAGTTACAAATCTTTAATGCTTAATAAACAATGTGTTGTCTGGGTCCACATATTTAACATTAATAATAATATAACTTCCATCCCTAGTCTGTTTTTCTAGCCATTTGTAAAAATTATCCCATGTTTGAAAATATTCTGTGTCTTCTTTCCCTTTTATTTTCAATGGTTTATTTCTTGATGAAACTTTTTAAAAATGGGGCTTTTAGTTGCAATGAACTTAATATTTCAGATCGTAAAGTTGCTCCTCCGACATGGTGGTAATCCATTCCAAGCCAATAAACATGGAGAAAGACCTGTAGATGTAGCAGAAACAGAAGAACTGGAACTATTACTGAAAAGAGAAGTTCCTATTTCTGATGATGAAGATAGCTGTTCAGGTCAGAAAAAATGATGTTAAATTATCAGTGTTTGTATATACTATGTTTAAATTGTGTAATATTTCAAAATACTAGCACAAGTAGGGGTATGCAAATGGGTTCTTTGTTGCTAAATTTTGGTATCAAAGAACTTGCAAATTTTAAGTTAACTCAGGGAATTTGACTTGATAAATTGAAGTATGTATGTAGAATATATTAATAAACATTGTAAATATGAACTTCAGAAATATTTTGTTAACCCATTAAATTAATTAAAATGTACATTATTTCAACTGCTGTGTTTAGTAATAGGAATGGATAAAATAGGTTTGCTTGATTATTTCAAGTGTCTTCAAAAAGTATCCTTCTTGACAGATACAGAAGTAAGAAGATATATTTTAATTTTATAAAATACATAATTTTATAATAATGAGCCGAGGTGGCGCAGCAGTTAGAGTGCAGTACTGCAGGCCACTTTAGCTGACTGTGTTCAGCAGGTCAGCGGTTCAAATCTCACCGGCTCAAGGTTGACTCAGCCTTCCATCCTTCCGGGGTAGGTAAAATGAGGACCCAGATTGTTGGGGGCAATGTAAATATATATATACATTGCTTACTGGTGTACACCGCTTAGAGAGTACTTGCACTTAAAGCGGTATATAAATCTCATAAATAAATAAATAAATATTCCAGTATATTAGAGTAAGAGAATTATAGTACAATAAAAAAACCTTTTGGGGCCTTCTGTTGTTCCAGCTATTTCTGATGTTTCTGTTTATATTTTTAGTGTCTATATAGAATTATCATTGTTATTGTTATTGTATATACCTGTCATTTAAACTTGTGGAATGAAAAAGCATAAAACACAATAAGGCGTCCATGGTAAGGGGGGAAAAGAACATAAATGCAATAAATTATGCATGGTAAGAAAAAATAACATAACTAGATTAAAATGTTCATAATAAGTGAAATGAATTGAAAGTCCTAAATAACAAATAATATAATTGGTATTTTGAATTGTAGTTTATCCCTGGAATTCTCAATCAAATTACTATTATTCCATGTTAAATATAACAGTGTTTTATTATAAAATTAATTTTTCTTAAACTTTTCATATTTACTTCTGTCTAATTTATTTACACTAATTTGAACTAATGAAAACGCATGACAAATATGTAAGATTTTATTGCCATTAATAGCAAAGAAATGAACACAGCAGCAACATGTTTTTCTATTCTAGATCTTGATGAAGCACCATCTGTAAATCCTTCCAGCATTGAATGCAATATAGATTCTGAGACAGAGAAAGAATCTCTACCTAATGACAACAAGCATGTTTCTAATAAGACACCTCTTTCATCTGCTCTTGATGAATATGAATTTAAAGATGATGATGAAGAAGAAGTTAAGAAAATGATAGATGATAGACATATTCCTCGGAAAGATCTGAGAAAAGAAGATATGTCTGAAACAGAACAAAGTAACTTATTTCTTACACAGGAAAAACTATCATTTCCAAAATCATTTAAAAATAAAAAACAGAAACCTTCCAGAGTCCTGTATTCAAGTTCTGAAAGTTCAGATGAAGACATTCTTCAAGACAAAAAAATAATATCTCCTTCATGTACTGTTACAGAAATTTCAAATTCTGATGCAAAGATTAAAAAAGAATATGGTTATAATGAATATAAACAAAAAGGAAAAGTTAAAAGAAAACTAAAAAATCAAAGCAAAAACAAAGAAAATCAGCAATTAAAACAGGAAAAAGATCATTCCAGATTGACAAACCTGGGTGTTTCTCTGTTAGAATCGTTAGACAAAAGCAAAGAAGATGATAATTTCCGAAAAACATTTAGCCCAAAAGAGGATTCTTCTTTGTCCTTACTCCATATTACTCCTAGTAGATCCCCTAAACATCCATGTGGCATTAATGAAAAACAGTCTTCAACACTTAAACAAGAAAATGTTAAAATGTGTTTATCTCCAGAAGGGTCAGAAGTAACTTCACAATCTGAATTAATTCGATATGACCATAATGCAGATACTGATTTTATTTTAGAAAGTTCTAGTAACAAGTCTTACAAGAACAGAGACAAAAGTAAGCATCAGAAAGAATTTATTTTAGAATTTAGTGAGAAATCCAGTCCTAAACTTAAAGATGAAGATAATAGTCCAATCTTTGAAAATTCTGACACTATGATGAAGAAGACTGACGACGGGAAAATGCTTAAAAAGCATAAATTGAAGCATAAAGAAAAGGAAAGGGATAAGCTTAAAAAGGAACAGGATGGAGAGAAAGAAAGATATAAGCATAAGGAAAATTCCAAGGATGTCCAGAGGAATATTGAGTTTGATAGAGAATTTTGGAAAGAAAACTTTTTCAAAAGTGATGAGACAGAAGATATGTCAACTGTAGAGCATGACCCTCAAATGTCAGAGAAGAAATCTAAATTGGAAAAGATCTTAGTTAAAGAAGACAAATATGTGAAAGAGAGAAGCTTTCAAAAAGATAAAATTTTTAGAGAAGAAAAAGAAAGAGAAAAAACTAAAAAAGAAAATGACAAGGAAGAGAAAACAAAAGAGCATAGCATGTTTCTTGATAAAGAAACAGATTTATTCTGTTTAGGTGTTAGGGATATGGCAACAAATATAACTGTAATAGAGAAGGAAGACATTGATAAACAAGAAAAAAAGGATCATAGAGAAAAAAATGAAAAGCGGAACTCTTCTATTGAAAAAATAGAAAGAAAAAATACAGATAAAGAGAAAAAAGTAAAATGTGAACACAAATTAGAAAAGGATAAATTAGATTCTCTTGAAAATAATGAAAAAACAAAAGAAAAGGAAAAGGTATACTTTCAACAGGTAGAAAAAACAAATAAAGAGCATGATAAGTTAAAAAGCTTCAGTACTATTAAAAAGCTTGATGACAAAGAAAAAATCAAAGAAAGATTTGAAAAGAAGCATGATAAAGAAAAAAATGATAGATTCTTTTCGGAATCTAAAGAAAAACCCAGCAATGATAAGAAATGCAAGAGTTCCGAAAAGGACAGTGAATATTCAAAAATGGAAAAGGGTAGAAACAAAGAAAAAGAAATGGAAAAAAAAGAGAAATCAAAAGAACGTGATAGTTCAGTAATTACAAACATGAAGCAAACAGCAGAAGAGAAAAAATGCAGTAGTGAAAAAACTTTATTCTTAAAAGAGAAGCCAAAGGATGAATTGCTGAAAACTCCTGATGGAAGAGAGAAGGATAAAAAAGATAAAGACATTGACAGATACAAAGAGCGTGACAAATATAAAGATAAAATACAGCAAAATAATGTACCTAAATTAAAATCTGAAACTGAAAAGCTTAAATCTAAACCATTACCAGTGTCTAAAGATACTCGACCTAAAGAAAAGAGGTTATTAAATGATGACTTGATGCAGACAAGCTTTGAAAGAATGCTTAGTCTTAAAGATCTGGAAATTGAACAATGGCATAGAAAACACAAAGAAAAAATAAAACAGAAAGAAAAAGAAAGATTAAAGAATCGATCCTGTACTGAACTTAATAAAATAAAAGATAAGGATAAAATAAAATATTCTGAATCAAAGAACAAAGAACTGAGTCGTTCAAAAAGTTCAGAGTTATCAGATGCTTCTGGGAAAGATAAACAGCTAAAAGATGCTACCAGCAGTAGATCACAGTCAGTTGATATAAAAAATTCCAGTGGAAAACCATCCCTAGCATTGGACAGTAGCTTAAGTAGGTCTCCTAGATCAGAAAGTGAAAAAACTGGTCTAACCTCCAGATCAATATCCATGATTTCAATTGCTAGCTCAGAGGATTCTTATCATGCTACAGTAACTCCTCCAAGACCTGTTGTTGAATATGATTCAGATTTTATGCTTGAAGGATCTGATTCTCAAATGTCTTTTTCACATTCACCATTTTTGCCTAATGCCAAGTCACCTGCAAACTATGAGAATGATAGTTTGTCAGAATTGCCAGAGCGCAATAAAGCACCTACTTTAAACAGACTTCCAGCTTATATTAGATCAGCATCAGTTGAAGATGTAAAATTTGTTATAAATGATTGCAGACCAGTTGTAGAAGTGCGAAGATGCAGTATGCCAGCTGTTTATGAAAATACAAAACAGTCCCGAGTATCAGAAGAAAGTAGTCACAGTACTTTGCTCTCAGTTCAAAGTTATAATTCTTTTCCTAAACATGAATGTTGCAATTTGCTTGAAAAGGATTCCCAGAATGGACTGACCAGCTTGTATTCCAGTTCCGCTTTATCCCCGAGTAGATCTGTTCATAAACTTAATGCGTTAGATGCAATTGGTAAAAATGCTCCTTCAAGCTCATCAGGAGAAAGTCATAAATATTTAGAGCATAATAATTCAACTCCATCAAGTAAAACATGGGATGTGCCTTTGGATAGATTTATTTCATTAAATAGTGAGTGTTCCTGTTCAAATTATTCAGGCTGTGAGCTTGATGCAACAAATGTATCAACCATAACTAATTTTGAAAATAAAACTATGAAAGAGCAGAAAAGTTCTGAATCTTTTTATCATCATGCTGAAAATGTATCAAATCCTACATCCCAGGAAATGGCAGAATTTTTGTCTGTTCAGTCATGTTGCCCTTCTCAGATTCAGCCAAGCACAGATACAATTTATATGTCAAAGCATGTAGCTTTGTCAGATACAAACAGCCAAGAGCTTCTGATTAAGAACCCACAAAGTTCCATTCAACCTAGCAATTCGATCTTAGACATAGATGCTGCCAGCAAAAAAAAGATAGAAAAAAATGTTTTCTTGTCAAACAACAAAAAAGCAGATATGCTTATCACAGTTTATCCTGAAAATATTACTAAAGATATTTCACAAAATTTTGAAAAGGATTTTGTTGCAAATGATCCTCGTTTACACTCCAGTGCAAGTTCATCTGCAGTAAGTAAGCTTATTTATAAAACGTCACAAGCTGAGGAACTGGATAATAGTGTAATTGATATTCAGTTCCAAGGTGAAAAACCTCATTCCGTTGACATCTGTTCATCCCATATGGCTGGTAATAAAAATGACCTAGATCTTCAAGATCTAAATGGTAGAACATTGAAAGGAATTACAAATGACTACAATAGAAATTTTTTTAATATGGACAGTGCAGAAAATAATTCAATGGAAGAAAGGCAACAGTACCTACTGCCTCATTTGGAAAGCCATTCACAGTTAACTGGACATGAAGTACATAAATATAGTCCAAGTATTAAATTAGAATTGGAAGAAGCAATAGAAGATCCTAAAGCACAACACTATGAAATTCCTCAAAGAGTTACAAGGAATAGAGCAAATATTCTTGCTAATCAAAGTAAGCAAAATCTTTCTGGTTGCTCCCAGATCTCAGAAAGAGATTTTGACTCATCTGCATCTTTGAAAGGACGGATAAGATTAACTGAGGAAGATGATGTTCAGCCACATCATCCACGTAAAAGAAAGCTGTCACGTGTTCCTCAGCCTGTTCAAATAAATGCATCTATAATGCAAGCTAAAGAAAAAACTCATCAGTCTCTGGCAGCTGTTGTAGACTCTCTAAAACTAGAAGAGATTCAGCCATACAGTTCAGAGAGAGCAAATCCGTATTTTGAATATTTGCATATAAGAAAGAAAATAGAAGAGAAACGTAAATTACTATGTAGCGTTATTCCTCAAGCACCCCAGTATTATGATGAATATGTAACCTTCAATGGATCATACCTCCTAGATGGCAATCCCCTGAGCAAGATATGCATTCCAACAGTAAGTAACTGGGAATTTGAGTTACTATAGAATTAATTGTTGGCTCTTGCTTTAAAAGCTCCATTTCATTGTAAGGTAACAATATCAGTGTTTATCTTGCTGATATGCTGAGTCAGAATATTCAGACATAATCGTGTTATACTCATGAATTCCCTCCAACAACAAATATAAAATGTGTATTATGCAAATTCGGAATTAAAAAAAGATTTCTTGACTGCATCATGAAAAAAATGCATATAGTACAACCACTGATTTATATGTTAGATATCTTGGCTGCTCATCAGACATTTGATACAGGAGAAATGTATTTGGAGGATGTCAGAGTCTGGATGGAGAGGAACAGATTTAGAATGAATCTTTTCAAAACTGGATAACTTTGGACCTTTGGCTAAATTATTCCAGGGTAATAATTTACCCTGGTTCTGAATATGGTTGCATTCCTCTGCTCAGAAGTACTCTGCAACTTGGAGATGCTCCTTGGCTGACAGTTCCTGCTCAAGTACATTCCTACATATTTTTTTAATTATATAAATTCCTATACATAGATTCTCTCATCAGCATTTATACAGAGAAATGGATGCAAATTAACTTAGTTATCATGTATTCATGTGGTAGTTTGGTGAAAAATCATCTCATTTATTCTATATCAATTCATAGAAAGACAGCTTCCCCCCATAAATATCTATGAAGACATAGCCTGGTAAAAAGAAATAGAAAAGGAAGAAGCAGGAGGTGCAAATAATAACAAACTTCACTGCTCAAAAATTGATTGCCTTTACAGATTAACTAAAGATTAGCAATTGCTTGAGAGTGTTTAATCAAAGAAATTTGGACTCTTTTTTAAATATATATCTAAATAAGGGTTTGCCCTCTTTCCTTGTTCAGTTACCTTTTCGCCTTGTCTCTCATCTCCAGTTGGTTTTGTTCCTCCCCTTTCTCTTTTCTTTCCTTCTTCCTTGTTCTCTTCAGCCTTTATTTTGTCTTTTTGGTTGTTTCTTGATGTTATTCAAAGAATAGGAAACGCATATGAGTACATATGTATTTCCTATTCTTTGAAAAACAGCAAGAAACAACCAAAAAGACAAAATAAAGTACATATGTGTTTTTATGTACATATGAGTACATATATGTTTTTCTATGTGACGGTGATTTGTGTATGACAGAACGAATGGTTCAGATATATAGATATGGGATTTATTTTATAAAAGAATTACCTTATTTTACAAGCAATTCTCATTAGTAGTTATTTATTGCATTTAGTAGTTCTTTGTAATATTACTTGTATTTTTATATATGTATACCATCCTTGACCTGGTCCTGACTTTTTTGGAGAGACTGCTGAATATGTATATGTACGCACATTTATTAGAGAAGGAAAATTTCCAGAATTGGTTTGAGCTACAGCAGACAACTTTAGGCTGACAAAATGAGAAAACCGGAAATTGCATGGACTTTTTGTCTGGATTTACCTTTTTTTCCCTATTTCTCTTTTTCTGGCAAGAATATTTTAAATGCATGGTAATATTTTTGGGGTGTGACATTCTTGGATTGGTGATGCAAGATTGCAGTGTAAAAAATATTTAGAACAATCTTGTATGAATGATCAATTTTACTAGAACCAAGCCTTATATCAAGTCCAACCTTACGTCCCAATGTATTTTAAAATTACTGTATTTAAAAAATTTCAAGAGAATATAAAGCAAGTGTTTCATTTTTTTATACTCAGTTTTGCCTCAATTTTAGCCACCACTTAAATACTGTAATTTTTCACCTCCCATCAAATGTATCTTTTACATATTCAGAATATATCTTTTGCATATATAGATTTATATCAAAGTGATATTTCTTTCACAGATCACACCACCACCATCACTATCTGATCCACTTAAGGAACTCTTTAGACAGCAAGAAGTTGTAAGGATGAAACTTCGTTTACAACACAGTATTGAAAGGGTAAGAATGTAATAAAATCTACTGACTGATCACCACTTTTAATTCAGATTGATTCAGAACTAAACATTTCCATTTTTTTCAAGGGAATTTTAAAATACAATGCATTGTATATTTTTAACAGGATTCCTTCATAAGTATAGGAAAAAGTTGGTTTTTCAGAGAAATAAGATGTATCTTTTGAGTTTAAAAAATGACTATATAATTTTGCTAAATTATATGTCTTTTAATTTAATTAGGAAAAGCTTATTGTTTCCAACGAGCAAGAAGTACTACGAGTCCATTATCGAGCAGCAAGAACTTTAGCAAATCAGACTTTGCCTTTCAGTGCATGTACAGTTCTGCTGGATGCTGAAGTATATAACGTGCCTCTTGATACACAGGTAAAAAAAGTTGTTTGAAGAATTATAGCAAATGTAAAATTATTGACTCATTGGAAATATTAGGTAAAGTAAGCTTCACCTACTGGAAGCATGGAACATTAGTAGCTATTCCCAAAATAATCTGATATGTCAGGCTAATGTTGGGAATAGGTAGTTCTCTAGATGCCCAATTGTCAAACATGAAGGGCTTTATAGGTCAACACCAGCATTTTCAATTCTATTCAGAAACCTATCAGTAACCAGTGTAGGTCTGTACAATGATGTTACATGCTTCTAGTGTCAGAAATGCAAGTAACTTAAGGAGTGTGTTAAAATTTATGAAAAATAGATACTAATAGATATTAGTTTTAAAAAGATAAAAGGAATATGTCTTTGAATAGTGGGGTTTTTTTTAATGAGAAGTGGGAGAGGTATTGCTTTTGTGACACCTTAAATTTCACTGAAACTTTGTGGGCTGGGTAGACCTTTTGTTTGATCAACCATACCTCTCATTAAGTTCTTGTGTATATTCCCTAAAGATTTTCTCCATTTTATATTTATCTTACAAATGATGACCAGAGATATTTAGAATAATGTTTAAATTTTACCATGATTGCTGTTGATTTTCTAAGCAAAAGGTTGTAAAGATTGTTATAAAATGGTGAGCATTGGAGCATTGCAATTGTGTTAAAATGTGTTATAAATTTTCCAAATACATAAAATTCTATTTATATTAATTCATTCATCCCACAAAGAAGGCATTGTGATACTAATGTAAAATTTCTTTACATTTTATATGACTTGAAGCCAAGTGGGTGTAGGCAGTAGAAAATAGAGATGTTTTATGAACTATCAGAAGAGCATCAATAGAGCTTACAATGCAGCTGTATTGCTGAATTAAAGCTATATTATCAAAGGCATAACCTATGAAGAAAACACACACTGTAGGGGGGCTATAAAAGATACAGGTAGTCCTTGATTAACAACTGCCCTATTTAGGAACTATTCACAGTCATGACAGTGCTAAAAAAATAACTTTATGATGATCTTCAAACACAACAGTTGCAGCATTCCTGCAATCACATAGTTGCCACTTAGGTGCTTCATAACAGATGCAAATTTACAACCATCGCAGCACCACATTTGCAAGCTTCACAGCTGGCTTCCAACAAACAAAGCCAATGGAGAAGCTAGCAGTAAAATTGCAAGTTATAATCATACGATGGCTCACTTCATATTCTTGGGTGATTTGCATAACAAGTGCAGCAGAACTGATGTCATAAGTCCAGTGTGGTCAGATGAAGTTTTGCTTAATGACTGCAACACTTAGTGACAGAGTTGACAGTCCCAACTGTGGGAGTTAGGTGAGGAGTACCTATAGTGGAAAAGAGATTGTGCAGTAAAGATTTCTTTGGATTGTCTAGCAAATCCCACTTTTCAATTTTAATTCTTCCATTAAATGGAAATAAGTCTTTCCCTAAAAATATCATCTTTAGAGATAAACTATAGTTTTCATTAAACATATAGATCCATCAAAGATATTGTGTAGCATGAGAATGAATGGATATTGGCCTATAATTAACAGGTATAATTTTTGATATGTTTAATTTACAGACTGATGACAGTAAAGCATCAGTTAGAGACAGATTTAATGCAAGGCAATTTATGTCATGGTTACAGGATGTGGATGACAAATTTGACAAATTAAAGGTATGTATCTTCATTGAACTTCTCCAAAAATATTTTTCCATTAAACATTTCTAGTATCTCATTAGATATGCTGCCCACTCTATCTGATTCTTTTGTGTTATTATAAATTCAAGTGGAAATAGCATTTTATTTTACTCGTCTGCTAAAAAAACCCTCCCAAAATGTCTTTAGATCTATTCTAAAAAGACTGTTTGCTATTAGATTTCAAACGAGAAAGAAATAGTAGCAATGTAATAGCATTGGTATCTACATTTCTATTCTACATTCTAATCAAAACTGTTTTATGTGATACTGAGTCAGAAGGAGCAGTTTCTACAGTTTCCAACTATTATTCTGATTTTTGCGCAGTACTAGAAGAATCGTTTGGTTAGAAATTTCTCCCATTGAATAGATGAGTAAGCCAATGGTGGCCATTATACACTTTAGAGTATAGCAGAATTCTAACTGAGATATTCTTAATACACTTTTCCAAGTACACAGTCAAGACAAATGCAAATACATTCAACCACTTTTGTTTCAGTGGAAGTTAAAGAGCATATTTTCTCCTAATTCAAACAGGACCCTATTGAATGAAACAATATACGTAAAATTTTAGGCTACGTATAAGACAAGCTCGTGTGCCAAAAGCACACAGGTGCAGCAGAAAAATAGGGGAAATGTTACTAGCTATAATAGCTAAAATGAATCTCCAAATTGAGCAATTCTTAAGAAGTGAATCTACATCAATGCTATAATTATATTTGCAATTTAAAGATACACAGAACATTTCAGAGTCAAAATGTTTTTATCTGTGGAGTGTCTTGTTTAGACTTTGGAATGTAATTCTGACCCAGTATCCCAGAAGCTATCTAGTTTACAATGTCAAATTTTGAGGTGGGAACAGTTAATTCTATGTCAGATCAGGATATTCTGAAAATGAAATGCTTCAACCACAGATATTTTGCATATTTCCAATGCAGTTCAGAGAAGACAAAGCAAAGATGAAGTCTATTGGGCACAAATAAAAACTTTCATTCTTGTTCTTTGGAATTATATCACTAGAATCTTAATTATATTAAAGAGTAACTTGCATATATACCAGTGATAGTGAACCTTTTAGAGACTGAGTGCTCAAAAACCGCCCACCCATCCACTCTGCCCCTGCTCCACCCCCTGCTCCATCCCTGCCCACTCGCAGGGCCCCCACTGCCACAGCCCGCCGCAGATTGCCCAGGCAACCCTGCAGCGCCATGGCAGCCACGCCTTCCACCCGCGCCCAGAAGCATCATCTGCGCACATTGGGGTGCGAAGATGGAATCTTGTCCCTGCTGCCTCACATTGATCATCATTACAGTCAATTCTCATTTTCCTGCATCTAATCTGTTGTTTTCTTTTTTCCTCCTTGCAGAGCAGAGGATTGGAGAAGAAAGAATTAGAGCAGAGTAAGCATGCATACAATGGGAATACACATCAAAATCAATATACTGGTGCTGACAGCCATGAGTGCTGGTATTTTTCCCATTATGTGCCTCCTTACTCTCTTCTAATCCCTTCATCTCCAGTTGCTCTGCTCTGCATGGAGAATAATGGAATTAACTTCCCCTGTAAATCTTGCCCTGCCCAAACAGAAAAAGATGGCCGGCATGACGTAAATTGGTTGGTCAATCCGCTTGTGGGGACATTCTTTCTGCAAGTATGCTGAGATAGAGACTCCAGCTGGGTGCAATTCATAACACCAAAGGGGGCCATGAAAATGCCCTTTGGGGTCCCTTCAGATCCTAGCCAGGAAGAGATATGCAAAAGCTAATGGATGTCTTTTCAAGGCAGGTGCAAATCTCCCCTGTGGCCAAGAAGGAATAAAGGTCCTCGTCAGGAGCAGCAGACAAGGGATGCCGCCTCTTTTTAAAAAAAAAAAAAAAAAAAAACAAGTTTAATTGGTTTTTTTGATTTTTAAAACAAAGTACTCAAGATATACATACAGGTGTTAGAGTAGTCAAACATCCGCAGACAAAACATAGATACATAATTCAATCAATACATCAAATATTCCCTCTCTTTTTCCTTTAAGTAACATATTTTATTTAACATAATCCAATTCTAGCTTAAATTTATTCAACCTAAACCTGTTTTTAAAGCTTTATAAATTTACACTACCATAATCAAAATAACTTTAAGTACAAACATTATCAGTTCGGGTATCCCTTCCAAATATATTCTAGTTCCTTAATTTTATCATAGATCTTATTTATTTCTTCTTCCACTAATATCCCTTATTTAAAATAAATATTAATCTATCCTATACGTATCTAGTCCATCCATCAATCAATCTCTTTAAGCTGACAAAATAAAGTCCGACCTTAAATCATTTCAATCCATTTGACAGAATTCAAATTTTATCCAGTTAATTTTCATAACTAATAACATCCCTGTTATCAAACAGACAAATCATCTTATTAGATTAACTCAACATTACATAATAGTTTTCTTACAAATAAATCTATCATTCTAAAAAAATTATATATTCCATTAATCAACCCTTTTTCTCTTACTTTTTAAGCTGAAAAGATAATATCAAACCTTAAATCATTCCATTAAACATCAAACAAACAAATCATCTTATTAAAACTAATTATTTTCATATCGATAAACCGATCAATTCAAAAAGTACATTCTTAGTCAATTTAATATATATCTTCCATTAATCGCCCGTTTCTCTTACATCTCACTCATAATCTTAGTCCTTAAATCAGTCCATAATTCTAAATTGCCTTTAATCCATTACATAAAGTTTTAAATTTCACTTCTTTTTAGTCTTATTCTGGCCTTCTTCTTTTCTCAGGTAGGTTTTCATAACAGAGCTTTCCTTCCATGTCTCTCTTTATTGCTTGCAGTATCATTTGGATCCATGAAAACCATCTTGGCCTCTACATTGGCCCTCTGTTTCTCTTAACCATAAAATTTCATTGCTTTGACATTTCAAATCTCAGTCATTGCTTTTCCTGATCCTCAAAACCATAAGTGAACTGCTTATCAGGCAAAGTCAATTTCTCTTTATTCTCAGTTAAGTCTTCTTCTTATGTGGTCTGTTTTATAGAATAATCAGAAGTAGTCTGAGAGTCAATTTTGAAGTTTAAAGAAGAGATTCTGACTCTTAGTTCTGTAGTAAACTCTTTCATTAGAGCACATATTTCTTCTTTAGCCTCATAGATCTTTTCCAGAATAAGTTTACAATTTAAGTGTGAATGCGGCTCCATTTTAAAAGTTGTTAGATTAATGTTAATAAGACTAAAATTTTACCTAAAAATATGACTAGTCGGGAGAAGCAGACTTTGGTTAATTTGACGGGTTTTGAAATTGTTAATAAGGTAAAATATTTGGGGGTGATGCTATCTGTTCCTAATGCAAAATTATTTAAAAATAATTATGAAAGGTTGTGGGTTAGGGTACAGAGAGACTTGAAGAATTGGGAAAAGTTGCAATTATCCCTCATGGGAAGAATTGCAGTGATAAAAATGAATATTCTACCCAAGTTTCTCTTTTTGTTCCAAATGATACCGATTTTGAAGAATGAGATCAATTTAACTGAGTGGCAGAAAGGCCTTAATAAATTTATTTGGGCAGGGAAAAAGCCAAGGGTTAAGTTTAAAATTATGCAAGATTTCCGTGAGAGGGGAGGACTCAAGGTGCCGAATTTGAAATTATATTATGATGCGGTGGTTTTAACATTAGTTAGTGACTGGGTAAATTTGACAAATTCTGATATACTTCACTTAGAGGGATGGAATTTACTTTTTGGGTGGCATGCCTATTTAATATTTAATAAAAAATGGATTGGGCTTTTAAATCTCATATCTTAAGAATTTCTTTACTTAGGGTTTGGAGAAAATATTATAAAAGTGATTTCAAAGTACCATTATGGGCTATACCTTGGCATGCAATAGAAGGAATAAAAAGAGGGGTTAAAATGGATATGGTGTCCTATAGACAGTTACTTAAATGGGATGGACAAAACTGGCAGTTAAAATTACGGGAAGAGTTAGCACAAGAAAATATTATTTATTCTTGGTTCCAATATAGGCAATTATTAGACAGATGGAAGATGGACTGTAAGGTGGGTTTTCTCAGAGAAGATGAAAATCTTATTAAGCAAGTGAAGGATCAAAGACAAACCCACATTAAGAGGATTTATGGGGTTTTAGTTGAATTGGATTCAGAAACGGAACTAATTAAAGATTGTATGATTAGATGGGCGCAGAATTTTGGTGAGCCAGTTCCATTGGACACCTGGGAAACTATTTGGGTGAGAAATGTCAAATTTACACAAGCACAGAACTTAAGGGAGAATTTTTATAAAATGTTTTATAGATGGCACCTTGATCCACAAAAAATGTCTTTTATGTACCCTGACTTACAACCTAAATGTTGGAGATGTGGTTGTATGGACGCTACTTATTATCATATTTGGTGGTCGTGCAGAGAGATAAAAGCATTCTGGATTAAGATATGGTGGAATATCCAGAGAATTTTTAAAAGGAGGGTAAAATTTACTCCACAATTATTTTTGTTAGGTATAGTTATTGATTGTGATACAAAGGAGGTTATATTGATGTTAAATTTGATTACAGCTGCGAGGCTGTTAGTAGGACAATATTGGAAGAAGGAATCTTTGCCTACATTGCAGGAATGGTTTCTTAAAGTGTCTCATTTGGCGGAAATGGCAAAGATTTCGGCTTTCTTAAAGGGTCAAACGCAAGAGAAATTCCTTGCTGTTTGGGATAAATGGATAAAATTCATACAATTTAAATTTGATATAAAAAAATGCTATATAGTTTTTTCATAATTTTTAACTTTATATATATATATTTTCTATTTTATATTCTTTTTTTTATATAAATATAAATTTTTTTTAACTTTTTAACTTTTTTTAATTAAGCCTATATTCTGCTCTGGGAGGCCCTGGGGGGGGAAGGGGGGGTTGGGTAGGGGTGGGGGAAGGGGGGTTTTGTTGGGTAATGTTTGTTTTTATTTGTATATGTTGTTTTTTGTTTTTGTATTGTCTTTTATTTTTTGTAAAATTTATAAAACTTTTTAATAAAAAAAAAAAAAGTTGTTCAGCTGGATCAGGTTATCTTTCTCTTAAAAAAACAGTTTGAAGGCCAAACATCTCATCTCCAAATAGTCAACAATTACAATATTAGCTTTTGACCAGCAGGTGTCCTCAGTAAGCTAGAAAATCTTTTTCAAGAGTCATTTTTTTTCCTTTCTATTTTTTAAGGAAAAAGTTGAGAAAGAAGTACTCTTCCAATATAAGATAATAATACTGCTCAAAAAAAAAAAGAACAGCATAAACTGATAGTACAGCTCTTAAAAAAAAAAAATTTGTGGTACCCCAAAACATGTATAAAAAAGATGTAGTCTTTAAGATTTGTTTTATTATTTTGTTCAATGCCTTTCTTCCCAAACAAGTAGAAGCTGCTTTTCCAAGCCAGGGAAATAATTCCAACAGGGCTCTTACAGGCAAAAAAAGAAGAAGAAAAAAGAAAAGAAAACAAAGTAGAATAAAAAGAGGAGCAAAGAAAAAAGTCTTACCCAGATTCACCACGGTGTTTTTTCCAGCTTAGATGTTCTTTGACTTGCAGTTTCTAACAGCTAGGTGATCGGCTATTTTACTGGCCGGTCTTCTTCTCCGTCGGCCCTCAGAGTTGGCCCGGACAGCTGGAGGAGCCGCCACTCCTCCACAGCCGAGCGAAGCCTCTTCGACAGAAGTCGTACATTCCAGGGCAACCTTCGACCCGCATAAGGGTCTACCGGCAGAGGGAAACTAGCCAACGAGATGAGTCTCCCCATGTGACTAGAGGCACCGCGATCTGGAACCGGAAGTCCAAGGGATGCCGCCTCTTTACTCTGCTCCACTTGGGAGTTGTGTGTAACCCATTGTTCACCACTCATCTTTCCTCGGTTTCCAGTGCCATATTGGACTAGGGTTAACTCTCTTTGCCATATGCATGACTAATAGCCCTCATTTCTCTCACTGATATCTTCCCATTCAAACACACTGCCCAGATTTGTAAAGTAAGAAAGAGGGAATATCCACATATCTCTCTCTCTCCTGCCTCTATCAATATCCAAGTCACTCTAGTGCTTCCATGCCCTTTCTTCTCTTGTATGTCAATTGCAGCCCCTTTTCTCCCCTTGGCCCACAAGCAAAGAAGGGCCCTGATAAGTGATTTCTCCCTTCTGCTTCCATTCACAGAATAGAAAGACTGGAGGTTAAGGGGTTAGAAGAGAGTAAGGAGGCACATAGGGAAATATATGTAGCCATTTGCCAAGCATGCTCACAGCTGTCAACACCAATGCATTGCTTTTGAGGTATATTTTCTGTAGTGTGCCGTATTCTCTTCTAATCCCTTCTCTCCAGTGATACAAGCATTTGTTAACTACCCAGTGCTGGGATGAGTATTACAAAGGGCAGGGTAATGGTTAGCAGACAAAAGCCAAAAAGTATGAAATTATTACTCTTATCAGTTTCAACCCAGAAAGCACAGTTATGGTCAGGTGATTTTCCACTTAGCAACCCAATTTACATAGCAACCAAGTTGCTAGTCCCAGCTGTAATTGCTAAACTAGGACTACCTGTAGAATTGAAGCCTAAGAGTGCTATTGTTTTACAGGATAGATTGTACTTCTGTTTTTTTAATTATTTAAACACAAGAGACTATTATTAAAATTAATATTCAATACAGTACTTGCATTATAATAACATTATGGATTAAAATTTTAAAATATATCTGTAGATAAACATTGGAATAGGTTATGAGAACCAGGCCAAACCATTTCATAAGTCTAATTGACCTGTGGATTGCCAAACTAATAGCTTCTGGATTAATAGAAGTACAGTGTGCTTTTTATATAGAAGCTTGCTTGAGATAACTAAAGATTCTTCTATTTATTTTGAAATAGACATGTCTCCTGATGAGGCAGCAACATGAAGCAGCAGCTTTAAATGCTGTTCAGAGACTGGAATGGCAGCTTAAACTACAAGAACTTGATCCTGCAACATACAAATCAGTCAGCATTTATGAAATCCAGGAATTCTATGTTCCTCTTGTGGATGTTAATGACGACTTTGAATTGACACCTATATGACAGCTAGCATTTCTTGTTACAGTTCAAGACTGTGGGATGTTTAAATTATAGCACTAAAATGGAATACTGCCTTTATCAATATTCCATGTATTCCTTCTGAAATGTGCTCCAGATCTCATTCAGTATTGCACATGTAAATACCATTTGTTAATAAATGGTATTATTTTAGCCTTTGGGTTCAAAAAGCATCTACTCAATAAATCTTACCTATGACAGTCTTTCACTCAAGATTTAACAGCGCTGGCAGCTGTTATAAGTCCACCAAAAAGTCTTGCTATTTAAAGTTGACTTCAATGCTTTTTATTATTAAACTTACAAAAACAGCAAAAACCTGTGGAAGAACTTTTAAGTTTGTGGGAATGTGCAGAATGAATCTATTCATCTTACATAATTTATAGGTTAACTGTACAGTTTTCTTTTTGAAACAGATGTTATATTGTTTTCATTTTTTAAAATAACTTATTTTATACATATTGTGCAAATGTAAATACTCTTATATTTAATGTTCAGCCCTGTACAAAAATAGATATTTTAATTGTAAAACTGTTTTGTCTAATGTTTATTGGACCAAAATTGTTGTTGTTTCTTATATGTAATGTACAAACGATTTTCTTTTAAAAGCATGGTGTTTGATTTAGCTGCTTGTTCATCACCATTACTGCTAAGATTTGATACTGAGTGGTATTGCATGCTAGCTCAGTTGAATTTTTCCCTACTACAGGGTACCTAACCGATTGAAATATTTGTTACCAATCCAATATACGGCTTTGTACAGCATCCATTCATTCAGAGAAATTTGCATGAATCCCTTTTCATTGTAGTATGTTGCAGTGCTTATTGGATTATGTCTTAACTCCACAGAGCCATTTGTCGTTTGCTCTGCTGCTATAATGCCATATTTGTGACTTAACTTGAAAAGAGTATTTTGTTTAAAATCTTTACAAGATTAGAAAACCAGCTCTTACATCCTGGTCTCTAAGGGAGTTTTTCAGTGTTCAATTTATTTCCTTTTACATGTCTCTCAATGAGAAATCTTAAATTGTATATTGTCTATTTTAATATTCCCTGATAGAAACATATGTAAATAACTGTAAATAACTATGTTTAATAAATTCTATTGGTCATGCTAACAGATGTTTGAATCCTTGTGATTGTGAAATTTTCATTTTTGAAGTTTTATACAATTTGACAAATAAATCCTTGAAAGTTCCATGATAAGATTGTACTTGTATATTCCTATTATTTGTGAACATATAATTAATATATTGCTATTAGCAAAATGCCTGCCACTGTGATGGGGAGTATATTCTAGTACAGTGTTTCCCAAACTTGACAGTTTTAAGGCATGAGGACTTCAACTCCCAGAATTCCACAGCCAGCGTTGCTGGCTGTGGAATTCTGGGAGTTGAAGTCCACATGCCTTAAAATTGTTGCTGGCTGTAGAATTCTGGGAGTTGAAGTCCACATGCCTTAAAATTGTCAAGTTTGGGAAACACTGTACTAGTAGAAGGGTTTTAGAACTTTGGAGTCAGGAGAGTCGGCCTTGCCCAAGCTGTGCTTTGGAGTTTCAAAGAGGTACTGAGTTTGCACACTTTCTTTCTTAATGACTATCACTGGAAATGGATTTTAAATTGCTTTTAGGTATAGTATTAAGATCCTTTAGAAAGACAAGTATTATTACACTGGATGATTTTTCTTCAATTTTCAGTGAAAGAAGTTTCACCTAAGCTTAAGAACTTAACCAAAGTCTTTGTTATTTGTAATAAGCAGCGAAGGGGTGGTTTTATATAGCTTTTAAATGACTAAGATGCCAAATTGATAGGAAATAACATGGAATATAATAATTATAATACTTCCTTAAAATCTTATTAAAAATATATGAAGCTTTTTAATTTAAGAAACCTTTGCCCCGGAAAATGTGGATTAGCAACAAACATAATAAGAGATTTTGAAGGTTGGTCACTAGAAGCAATTAGAAAGAACTAAAGATTATAATTAAAAGAGAAGAACTACTAATACTGAATGGAGAAAAGTATTTTAACTCTGAAAAATTGAAGGATATTTACAGACCTTGCTTACAGAGTAAAGGAGTTGGACATCTTCTAATCCAACACCCTGGAGACCTTACACCATTTTAGACAAATTGCTGTCCAGTCCCTTCTTTAAAACCTCCAGTGTTGGAGAACACATACCTTCTGGAGGCAAGTTGTTGCACTGATTAATTGTTCTGTCAGGCAATTTCTTCTTAGTTCTACAGGTGAAACTCAAAAAATTAGAATATCATGCAGAAGTTCATTTATTTCAGTAATGCAACTTAAAAGGTGAATCTAATATATGAGATAGACTCATTACATGCAAAGCAAGATAGTTCAAGCCGTGATGTGTCATAAGTGAGATGATTATGGCTTACAGCTCATGAAAACCCCAAATCCACAATCTCAGAAAATTAGAATATTACATGTAATCAATAAAACAAGGATTGTACATAGAACAATATCGAACCTCTGAAAAGTATAAGCATGCATATGTACTCGGTACTTGGTTTGGGCCCCTTTTGCAGCAATTACTGCCTCAATGCGGCGTGGCATGGAAGCTATCAGCCTGTGGCACTGCTGAGGTGTTATGGAAGACCAGGATGCTCAATAGTGGCCTTCAACTCTTCTGCATTGTTCGGTCTCATGTCTGTCATCTTTCTCTTGGCAATGCCCCATAGATTATAGCAGTGTTTCTCAACCTTGACAATTTTAAGGCATGTGGACTTCAACTCCCAGAATTCCACAGCCAGCAATGCTGGCTGTGGAATTCTGGGAGTTGAAGTCCACATGCCTTAAAATTGTCAAGGTTGAGAAACGCTGCTCCATAGGTTCAGCTCAGGCAAGTTTGCTGGCCAATCAAGCACAGTAATCCCATGGTCATTGAACCAGGTTTTGGTGCTTTTGGCAGTGTGTGCCTCTCCATTCTTCCTCCAGACTCTGGGTCCTTGGTTCCCAAATGAGATGCAAAAGTTGCTCTCATCAGAAAAGAGGACTTTGGACCACTGAGCAACAGACTAGTTCTGATTTTCTTTAGCCCAGGTAAGACGCTTCTGACGTTGTTTGTTGTTCAGGAATGGCTTGACAAGAGGAATACGACATTTGAAGCCCATGTCCAGGATCCGTCTGTGTGTGGTGGCTCTTGATGCACTGAGTCCAGCCTCAGTCCACTCCTTGTGAAAGTCCCCAACACTTTTGAATGGCCTTTTCCTGACAATCCTCTCCAGGCTGTGGTCATCCCTGCTGCTTGTGCACCTTTTTCTTCCACACTTTTCTCTTCCACATAACTTTCTATTAATGTGCTTTGATACAGCACTTTGGGAACATCCAACTTTTTTTGCAATTACCTTTTGAGGCTTTCCCTCCTTATGGAGGGTGCCAATGATGGTTTTCTGCACAACTGTCAGGTCAGCAGTCTTTCCCATGATTGTGATTCCTACTGAACCAGACTGAGAGATCATTTAAAGGCTCAGGAACCCTTTGCAGGTGTTAGCTGATTAGAGTGGGACACTTTGAGCCTAGAATATTGAACCTTTTCACAATATTCTAATTTTCTGAGATTGTGGATTTGGGGTTTTCATAAGCTGTAAGCCATAATCATCTCACTTATGACACATCACAGCTTGAACTATTTTGCTTTGCATGTAAAGAGTCTATCTTATATATTAGGTTCACTTTATAAGTTGCATTACTGAAATAAATGAACTTTTGTACAATATTCTAATTTTTCGAGTTTCACCTGTAGTTGGATCTCTGATATGTTTCCATCCATTATTTCTTGTCTTATTCTCAAGTGCTTTGGAGAATAGATTGTCCCCCTCTTCTTTGTAACAGCCCCTCAAAAGTTGGAAGACTGCTATCATGTCACCCATAGTTCATCTCTCTGTTAGACTAGACCAGGGGTCGGCAACCTTAAGCACTCAAAGAGCTACTTGGACCCGTTTCCCAGAGAAAAGAAAATACTGGGAGCCGTAAAACCTGCACCTGCATGCGGGGGGAGCTTGATTGAAGGGTTTAATTAAAAAGAAATAGAGGCTGTTGTGCATGAGTTCTCTCCCCTCTCTCTCTCTCTCTCTCTCTCTCTCCCTCCCTCCCTCTCTCTCTCTCTTTGTCTCCCTCTCTCTCCCCCCCTTTCTCCCTCTCTCCGATTTTCTGCTCACCTGGCAAGCTGGCTTCATGCTGTTCTCCGACAAGCTGACAGACATTCTTATTGGGCTGACTCTCTCCTGCCCTTGGTCTGTCAGTCCTCTTCCCCCCACTCAGTGAGAGAGAGAGACCTGCTGCTTCCTGCTTCCTGCTGAGATGCAGCAAAGGCAGGAGCCCCGCCCAATAAGCTTGTCAGCTTGTCCGAGAACAGCATGAGGCCACTCTCTTTTTTACACACACACACAAACACACACACACACAGAGAGAGAGAGAGAGAGAGAGAGAGAAGGGAAGCGCAAGTGCCTGTCTCTGTCTCTGTCTCTCTCTCTGCAAATGGAGGAGGCTGGGAGCCGCAGGAGAAGGCTGAAAGAGCCACATCGGCTTCAGAGCCGCAGGTTGCCGACCTGTGGACTAGACATACCCAGTTCCTGCAACTGTCCATCATACTGTATGTAGCTTCCAACCCCTCAAACATCTACAGTATGTTGCTCTCTGCATTCTATTTGGCAACAATGTACTGAGAAAGACTGTCTCTTACTATAAAATGGATTCAAAAGAAGAGATAGGATACAATTGAGAATCAGGCTTTTTTCCATATGGATTTAAAATTACAATATAATACAATAATGATATTGACAAAGATACTAAGCAGGATTTACATCTGAAACTTGGTTAACATTTTAATTGTTAAAAGGGACACACAAATTCCTATAAATCAGAAGACTGACTTGGATGTGTGGATTTCAACTCAGAAGAATAACTTAGATACCTTTCTTATTTTGGACTTACAAGAGAGATGTATTATACCTTTGAAGGAATTCATGAAAAAAGAGGAATTAAAAGAAATCAGCTCCTGGAACAATACTTAAAACAAATGAACATTAAACTTTTAAAAAGATTTATAAAGTTGGTTTATTCAACCAAGGTTAAAATATTTTTTCTTTCCTTCCTAGCATATTTTAATACATAGGCCACAGGTAGGCCACAGTCAGTAAGGATGGGATCTCACCATTCCTCTACTCTGACATTAAGCACAGGAGCCCCCCAGGGCTCCTTGTATACGCATGACTGCACCCCACTGTATAACACCAACACAATTATTAAATTCGTGGATGACACAACAGTGGTGGGGCTCATTAATAAGAACAATGAGTCTGCTTACAGGAAGGAGGTACAAGGGCTGACATTGTGGTGTGATGAAAATAATCTCACACTTAACACCACAAAAACTAAAGAACTTATAATTGACTTCAGGAGGAAGAGAGATGTACATCTACCATTGTACATAAATGGTGAGGAGGTGGAGAGGATGGGTAGTTTTAAATTTCTGGCACTTATATCTTGGACGACCTCTCATGGACTATGAATGTTAACATGCTTGTGAAGAAGGCACAGAAGAGGCTGTACTTCCTGAGAATGCTCAGGAAGATAAATCTATCTCAGCATCTACTTCTGTCCTACTATCACAGCATCATTGAGAGTGTCCTGACATACGGCATTCTTGCATGGTATGGGAGCGGCTCTATAGCGGACAAAAAAGCTCTACAGAGAATTATTAAAACTGCCCAGAATATTATCGGACTCCAGCTACCAGCCCTGGACAACATCTTTGAATCTCGCTATTGAGGAAGTTGCATAACATTCTCAGAGACTCTTCCCATCTTGCTTACAATCTCTTTGGACTGTTGCCTTCTGGCAGAAGATATAGAACATTTAAAACTCGGACCACACATTTTCTGAATAGTTTTTATCCCAGAGCTATAATTGCACTTAATAATGAACTAAAGGGCCACCATCAGTGAACTGTTGGACAGTATTACTTTGTCTGTTGGATGGATGTTTAGGCGGTTTTAGGGGTGGGGAATTGTGGGTGGGAGTGTGTTTGGGAATTATGTGTGTGGGACCTGGTCTTTGGGTGTCACGTAAATTTTGTTGTATGTGTATACTGTGCATACACATACAATGACAATAAAGTTTATTATTATTATTAATGGTGATTTTTTTACCAGGACTGAATGAGGCTTTAAAGTTTTGTTTATATACAAAATATGGGAAGAATATATTTTTTCTTGCATTTTTAGAGAAAGTGATAAGCTGTGGTATCAAAATTGAAGGAAAGTATTAAACTTCCAAATTTCTGAGAAGAGATAAAGAGATAGGAAATTAATTTGTGGGACCTTATTTGATGGAATTAAATTTCAATATGCTGTTTCTGATAGCTCATAATGGAAACTTCTGATTAACTTTGAATGATAAAGCTCTGAATATTTATTTATAAGATAGAGGAAAATGATGTTACTGTGTAAAGTGAAAGGAGTATGAAATTTAAATTTCTATTTTGTTATGTGTATATGTATATGTACAGTCATGTGAAAAAGAAAGTACACCCACTTTGAGTTCTATGGTTTTATTTATCAGGACATAATAGAAATCATCTGGTCCTTAATAGTTCTTAAAAGTAGGTAAATACAACTTGAGATGAACAATAACACATGACATATTACACCATGGGTGTCCAACTTACCACGTCACATAACGTGTTGCGACGTTTCGTGACTTTTTTCGCATTGCTGGAGCTGGGGTGGATGTGGCCTCCACATGATATAACCAGACTGAGGGCCAGCAGTTTGACACCCCTGTATTACACCATGTCATTTATTTTTCAAAAAGAAAGCCAAAATTGAGAAGCCATGTGTGAAAAACTAAGTACACCTTATGATTGTAGAATCACCTATAGCAGTAATAACAAGTAATCATTTTCTGCATGACTGTATCAGTGTCTCACATCGTTGTGTAGAATTTTGGCCCACTCTTCTTTACAACATTGCTTCAGTTCACTGAGATTTGTGGGCATTTGTTTTTTTTTATTTGTTTTTTTAGTTTTTATTTTTCCTTTTTTCACTATACAACAAAAAACTGAAAAATACATTTTTTCCCTTAACAAAACTGTGTTATACATCTCATATATATTATTTACAATTTATTTACATCAGTAATCATGTCTTTTTCTTTTTTTGTTCTAGCAAATCATAACATTTGTTCCATATTTCACAAAATTCTGTTGCCTCCTTGTCTTTTAATTCTAGCATAAGTTTATTCATTTCTGCGCATTCAAGAATTCTGTATATAATATCGTTTGCAGGTATGTTTTCACCCTTCCAACACTGAGTGTATACTAAGCGGGCTGCTGTCAATATATGTATAATGATATGTTGGAGTTGCTTTTCCATCTTTGAATTTATTATACCCAGAATAAATAGTTCAGGTTTGAATTCAATTTACACCTTGGTTATCTCCTGTATCCAGTTCCCTATCCGTTCCCAATAGCTCTTTGCTTTAGGGCACAGCCACTTGTGGGCATTTCTTTATGGATAGCTGTCTTGAGGTTCCACCACAGTATTTAAATCAGGTTGCAGTCTGGACTTTGGGCCATTGCAACACTTTGATTCTTTCTTATTTTTTTCAGATTCTGTTGTACATTTGTTGGGATGCTTGGGATCATTGTCCTGTTGCATGACTCAGTGTCAGCCAAGCTTTAGTGTTCGGACAGATGGCCCCACATTTGACTCTGGAACACTTTGATATACAGAGGAGTTAATGGTTGACTAAAAGACTGCAAGGTGTCCAGGTCCTGTGGCTGCAAAACAAGCCCCAATCATCACCCCTTCACCATCGTGCTTCATGGTATGTTTGTGCTGATATGCTGTGGTTGGGTTTTGCCAAACACGACAGTGTGCATTATGGTCAAACATCTTCACTTTGGCCTCATCTGTCTAAAGGACACCATTCCAAAAGTCTTGTGATTTGTTCAGCTGCAACTTTGCAAACTTAAGCCATGCTGCCATGTTCTTTTTAAGAGAGAAGAGGCTTTCTCCTGGCAACCCTTTCAAACAAACCATACTTGTTCAGACTTTTTCAATTTGTCATGAACTTTAAAATTTAACATGCTGGGGCCTGTAGTGCCTGAGATTTAATACTTGGGATTTTTGCATTTTCTCTGAGCATTACCTGGTCTGACCTTGGGGTGAATTTGCTGGGAAGTCCACTCCTAGAAAGGATTGGCACTTGTCTTGAATGTTTTCTGCTTGTGAATAATCTTCCTCACTGTAGAATGGTGGACTTTAAATTGTTTGGAAATGGGCTTATTCCCAGATTGATGGGCAGCAACATTTGCTTCTCTAAGATCATTGCTGATGTTTTTCCTCTTTGGCCTTGTGTTAATACACACCTCAATGCTGGAGACCAGCAAACTCCTAAAACTAGAGGTAATCACAGTTGCTGATGATCAATTGATCAGGGCACTTGAAATCACCTGTCTGCTACTTATCCTCTTCAAATATATGGAACCAGTAAGGGTATATGTATTTTTCACATGTGGCTGCTCCATTTTGGCTTTCTTTTTGTAAAATAAATGATGATGTGTTAGTCATCACTTATAAAGCCCTTCATGGCATATGGGTTGATTTTTTAGGGGACCACCTGTCTCTAGTCGCTCTTGTCCATCTCACTATCTTTGCCTGTTCTTGTGAAATGTAAGAGTTTTCCTCCTTCCTCCTGTTTTCCCACAACAGCAATCCTGTGAGGTGTGTTGGGCTGAGAATGACTGGCCCAAGGTCACTCAGCTGGTTTCCATACCTAAAATAGGACTAGAACTCAGACTTCTGGTTTCTAGGCCAGCACCAGCCTGGCTCTCAGTTCCTTGCTGTGGCTCTATCTGCAGCAGTCAGCTGCCTAAAGCATCTGCTGCACTCAGCTTAAAGGTGCTACCAGGCTTGTTTGTATATAAGCACTGGAACTGAAGACCTTTTTTCCTTTCAGAGGGTATGTGGGAGAGAAAGAGGAAAACAAGTATTGCATTTACTGCTATGGTTTCAATAATAGTGATTATTAAGCCCTTCATAAAGCTTGGCATTAACTGCAGCAAACAATTATTTTTCCTACTCAGTCAACTGCTGGATATACGGTACACACGATAAATCACAATCCAAACAAGATTAAGTCCGAATTGGCTCCTTTCATGTAACATATTAAAGTACAAACTATGGCTTACACAACAGTCGGATTCACACAGCAGGCAAAATCAAACAAATCACGTTGTGACTGAGGTATGTGCATGGATTATGTTCTCCTAATTATGGGCTGTTTCTTTTTATGTGCTCATTGTACAAATGCCTTATACAAAAGGCATTTAGAAGGGCAGCAGTCGACACTTCTAGCCAATCCACAAAGAATCACATAATGTGGTGGTCCGGGAGGAGAGACCACGATTTTGCGTATCGCAATTGTGGCATAGAACTTTTAAACTCTTGTGCCAATATCAGTTAAGATAACCTTTATTGTCACTTTTTTCTGTGAACGCACTGGCACACATTAAAAAATGAAGTTGCTCGTTTTATGCTGTTGCCCTACGCATATGGCAACATGTGTGAAAGAAAGGCAACAAACTGCTTGCTTAGCTCTGCAAAAAAAAAAAAAAAATACTGTGTGTGTGAGAGAGGTAGAACTTATTTTGGTCCCGTTTTGCAGATTTTTCAAAAATGAATACGTGGACAGCACAATCCAGCAACAGGTCGGGCGGAGACGCAACACGTCAGGGTCACAAGAGAAAAAGCCCTTCGCGTCCAATGGGGAGAAGCGAACCCCTTTTTTTTCCACTTCCGCGGGAACTATCCTGGGCAGCAGCCGCCCAGCTGAGCCCAAAGGTGCGCTCCGTGGCGCCAAAGAAGGGGCCGGGTTACCACCGAGGCCGGTCCTGAATGGGCAGGTCTCCCCCTCTTCTCCCCCAAGCGGCGCTTTCCCGCCCCAGAGTGCCAAGAGGCCGAATTTCGCGATGCGCTCCCGGACCTTCTAAGAGGAGACAGCGCGTGGGCGAGTCCCTCCGGCGCCTTGAGGTGTGTGCGTGTTTGCTCTGTGCGTATGTTTAAGGCCGAGAAGGAGGAGACGACTTGTGCCAAGTTTTTCCCGCCTCCCTTCGCAGGCGAAGCTGCTCGGAAGGCAGCCGCCGCGGCCTGTCCCTTTAAGGTACTTCGACGCTGCCCGCCGTCCGGCCCTGTGCGAAGGCAGCCAAGCGGGGCCGCCGCCAAAGAAAAAGGGCTCGACTCTCATCGTCCCGGTCGCTCCGCAAGCTGAAGCCGGGTGGCGGGTGGCGGGTGGCGGGTGGCGGGTGGGGGCGCGGCTCTGCCGGGCGAAGGAAGAGGCGGTGGTCGGGGAAGAAGCGGGGAGTGAGTAAGGGGCCTCTGAAGGAGGAAAACGGGGCTGAGGTAAGCGAGCCGACCCGGTGAAGGGTGAGACCACAGTGGAAACATGCGGGAGCAAGCGGGGCGGGGAGTCGGAGGTTTCCCTTTAGAAGGCAGGAGGTGGGCGCGCACGGACTGATCTCCGCGGCTTGTTTTGTAGGGTCTGGAGCTAGTGGGCTCTTCTGTTCTAGAAAGCGGCGTCGGTTGCGCCCCTTGCCCTGAAGCGAACTTTTCTTTGAAGCCTGGGTGGCCGAGTGCTGCTCCATCTCTCCAGTTGTCCTTTGTATTCCCTGCTGCCGCCGCCGCCGCCGCCTTTTGCTGGTCCACGCTAAGCAACTTGAGTTTACTTTATAAGCCTCGCTCTGCTGCCTTTCCATGCCCCCCCCCCTCGCCCGTTACATTTCTCATTCTCCCCCAGACGCTGGACCCGAGTTAGCGAGGCGAAGCAGACGCGCGGGTGGGGAGGAGAGAGCTGTTCTTTGGGTAGGGATTGTATCTTGGCCGCTGCATTGGAGGTTTCATTAAAAATCCTTTTTAAAAAGTGCGTGCAACAGTTGGGGGCGTGCAACAGTCGGGGGCTTACGCATTTACTTGAGTAAGGTAAAACGGTTTAATGTGCAGTTCAAGTAGAAAAGAAAATAATATGGTGTGGGTGAACAGGTGTGAATAACTCCCAAACAGCTTTGTTAGCTCTAAAAATGTCTCTCTGTATACAGTTTTTTTTATTGTCCAGCATAAAAAACTTTGAAATGTAGAATCAAATGTTCATCTGTCCTTTTTGGTAATAATACATTTTGAATTGTGAAAGCTAATTTTTTTCAATTGTTAGACTGGTTTATCTGTAGGGAAGTTTAAGTGAAGGACTGACAACGAAATTGTAAAAACTGGATTCAGTCGGACAGTTTTCTGTTGGCTAAAATTTTCAAAGGCTTATCTTCCAGTAAAATTACTATTCAGATTATTATCCTTATTTCGTAACTCTTAAGATCGTGTTCAGTATATAAAGAACATAATTCAAAAAAAAAATCCTAGAGATGTTTGTCATGTCATGTTTTTTCAAGTTGCTCTGCTAAAGTTCAGGTGTATCTAGTGAAAAGGTGTTAGACCTTGTTCTACAAAAAGGAGCCCCCTCTCCATCTTTTGTTTGCTTCTTTTTGTTTTGCTGATTCTCAGCTATATTGTTAAATATAGGGAGATAGTAAGTAGATTTGAGTATGTAATATAACTAATTAAAAGCAGAGATGCAGAGTGAAGATTAAGTCACCCAGTATATTCTTTGTCAGTATATTCTGTTGATTAATATATGGCACCAATCCAATTCCTTCTTCAGAAGCTTTGTTTGTAAAGTAATACTTCTATATAGCTGGAATTGAAATGAGGTTATGTTAAGACACGTTCTCATTTATCCATCAGAAAGAATTCTTCTACATTAATTCTAGCAGGCCCCCTTTTCCTGTTCCTTCTGTTACTCCATGAAATAAATATGTTGCAAAAAATACTTTACCATAATGGGATTATAACTAAAATAATTATATTTATTAGCGTTTGAAGTGTCATGCTTTACATAACTTTGAAGTCAATGGAAAAATAATTGTCTTGACTTATAATTACATGAGAATTCTTTTAAGCTGCTGATCTGAGCATAAAAAACTAATGGGAAACAAAAACAAAACTGCCTTTGAGAATTATGGGATAAAGATGAAAGAAGTATTTTGCTCAGAAAATGTGGGCTTTTCATACAACTTTTTATTTCAATACAGTTGGAACATTTTTAGAAATCACCCTCTTGAATGAAAGATGAAGTTGTGGTACTTCCCAGGGTTCCTCATAATCAGTTTCCTGTACTTCTGGATCCCATCGTCCATGTGCTGCAACAAAGCTCTCTGTGCTAGCGATGTCAGCAAATGCCTAATACAGGTATGAGATATGCTTATGCTTGATAAGAATCCAGACATTTTCCTGTAATAATAATTTTGAAAGAAGTGAAATAAAAATTATTTTGAAGAGAAAACTTATCGAAGAATGTGGAAATGTTTATTTTGTATTTTCATTCCATTAATGCATGAAGAAACATGCAAATGCTTATTAGCATCTTATAAATGATAAAATTAGAATTTTGAAATTAATCAGTAAAATTGATTAATGATGGCCAGATTGTAAAGTTAAGTCATTAGTCCTAAGTTATATACAATAAGTAAAACCATATTTGCTTTACTTTTACAGTGAATCGATAAAAAGCAAAGAATAAATACTCTAAGGCAGTGTTTTTCAACCTTGACAATTTTAAGGTATGTGGACTTCAACTCCCAGAATTCCACAGCCAGCAATGCTGGCTGTGGAATTCTGGGAGTTGAAGTCCACATGCCTTAAAATTGTCAAGGTTGAGAAACACTGCTCTAAGGAAAGTATATAGGGCATATACAATCATATTATTCCAAAACTGTTCAGACACTTAAAATAATAGACATGCCTGGAAGGAGAAGTTTTGTCTTGAGTTGGGGAGATATTTATGTGGGTATCATGCATGCTTCCCTCAAACATAAGTGGGACATTACAGGTGAAACATTTCATTTGGAAGCAGCTGGAAGAAGGTGGCTGAAGATGTCTGAAAGTCCTATCACCCTATCCTCCATAATGGAGGAGGCATTCCTTGAAATACTAAATTACAAACTAAGACATCACTTTGTTTTATCCAATGTACTTTGTTTTCATGCTGCATGGGCTTGTCCATGAATTGTAAGTGACTACCTACTTCTCATTTAAACACATCATAAAACTGGATCTCTGAAACAAAACTTAAAATTGGTGTGGAAAACTGTATGTGACAGAGTAGATACAGGAAAAATATATTGATCAAACAAATGTAAAAACAATGACGATGATTTTTCTTAATATAGGGCTATAAAAGTTTACTATTCCATCAAAATTAGAATGTTTTGATTGTAATTAAAATTATAAGACATGTTGCTATTATTGTAATTGGAATTAATTTTTGGAATTTGTTTTATCTACTCATAATTTTTTATATTATTGATGGAGATCAGGCTTATTTATATATACTGTGTGCAATATATATATTCATAAGGAAGCATTATATTGTGACCAGAAATGAATATATTTTCTTTATGTAAAGTAGGCAAGCAATACATACATTTTGTTTTTTAGTTGTTTTGAAGAACGTTTAGAACTAAATAACATTAGGAAAAACTGATGGATAACTAAAGCTCTATGGCTCATTGAATATGGAAAAAGTTATATTTTGTATACTGAAATAAATGAAATAAGCATTCCACTTTGGTGTTATTTGTTCACTTCATTGTCTCTCTATATCAGGCATGTCAAACTCGCGATGTCATGTGATGTTGCACGATGTATCGGAACTTTTTCCCCATTGCCGGCAATGGGGTGGGCACGGTTTCGGTGTGACGCATCTGGCTTGCGGACCGGCAGTTTGACATGCCTGCTCTATATAGTATATTAGTAGGATCCCCATGGAAGCTGTGGTAACATTTGTTAGCAAAAATATGCAAAAATACAGAAATTCAAAAGAGGTCAAATACATTTTTATAGAACTATGTGATACATTGGTTTTTCTTTGTATTATATTTGGGAAGTGATTCTAAAGATAGTATTGGGTATTTCATGTTTACTAAAGCATTTATACAATGCTTGCTGGTTTAATTCAACTAAATTTGTAGCCTTTTCCTAGAATTGGAGTACGGAATTTAAGTGTGCATGCACTGATGTTGAAATACTGCTCCTGGTTGTAGAATTCTTGTTACTGGAACATACTCATCATCTCTGTGGCTAGATCGTCACTTAGAAAAAGAAGTCAAAGCAAAAATATCTCTGTAGGAAACGTGATGAATGACAGATAGCTTTGAAGCATGCAGTAATAAAATGGCCAGTTTTTCCAGTAACATATGACCAGCATTGTAAAATCAAAAATGGATTGGAAAGAAATCTAAAAATATATTTTCAAAAGAGATGAATAGTAATAGAATGGCAAACATGAGTCAGCAAGGGCAAATGTTCCAGAATGTGGCAAAAGTCATCAGGGAGCAGAAGGTAAATATTATAATTTATCACAATAGTTGCATATTACCATCCCAACTTACTTTTGTTTTTGTTATTTTCCTGGCAACATGGATGTTTCTAAATAAAGCACTAAGCTGCAACCATCTTTATTATTTTTATGAATAACTCAAGGTGGCAAACACCTAATACTCCTTCCTCCTTCTATTTTCTACACAATAATAAACCCTGTAAGGTGAGTTGGGCTGAGAGAGAGTGACTGGCCCAAAGTCATCCACCCGGCTTTTATGCCCAAAGTGCAATTAGAACTCACAGCCTCCTGGTTTCTAGCCTGGTACCTTAACCACTAGACCAAACTGGCTCTTTATATCTTTATATTTGCTTTAAACCTTTTATTTGCTTTCTCAAAATTCTTCGAGCTACCTCTTGTAAATACAAATGAAGAGGGTAGTGGACAGTCTGGTTTTTCAAGAGCCAGGTTTCATTTAACATAAATAAAGAATAGTTAGCATAGGCATTGATGCCAGTGGATGCCAAAGGAAGTTTCTGCAAGCATATTGAGACTCAGGGTCATCTCATTACCTGCCTTTGAATGATGCAATAATTGTCCTGGAATAATAACTTCTGAACTGCAGCAGCTTGATAACTGGATGAGTTAGTAGAAATAACTCCAATTCATCAATATGCGTGCCCTATTTCTAACACATACTTAAGGCTTATTTCTTGGTTGTTTTGCATAGTGGTTTTAAGTAAATGTTAAACCACAAAGGTTTTGTTACTAAGTTCAAAAGTTTGTATTTCCTTTTTTTAATATTATGAAAACAATTCAATGTAGTTGAATTGCAACAAAGATGATTAGGGGACTGGAGGCTAAAACATATAAGGAACGGTTGCTGGAATTGGGCATGTCTAGTTTAACAAAGAGAAGGATGAGGGTGGACATGATAGCAGTGTTCCAATATCTCAGGGGCTGCCACAAAGAAGAGGGAATCAAGCTATTTTCCAAAGCGCCTGAAGGCAGGACAAGGAGCAATGGATGGAAACTAACCAAAGAGAGAAGCAACCTAGAACTTAGGAGAAACTTCTTGACAGTTAGAACAGTTAACCAGTGGAACAACCTGCCTCCAGAAGCGGTGAATGCGCCAACACTGGAAGTTTTTAAGAAGAAACTGGACAGCCATTTGTCCAAAATGGTATAGGGTTTCCTGCCTGAGCAGGGGGTTGGACTAGATGACCTCCAAGATACCTTCCAACTTTATCATTATTATTATTATTACGTCGCTTGGTATTTTTTAACCTTGAGCATCAGTTTTATAATTGTAACTATTCAACTGTAGACATTATCTTTTTTGAAACTAAACCTCTATTTTAAATTTTAAAAAAAGGGAAAAAAGTATTTTCAAGAATATGAGATTTTACTGTAGTATTTAACACCAATAAGGCTTCATTGTAAATATTTTCAGGATTTTTAGAGGGAGAACTGGTATATACATTTTAAATCTATGCATAGATGATCAAATGTGCCTAATTTGCCCCTAATAATAATAACAACAACAAGAAGAACATTGGAAAGAACATTGGAGGTCATCTAGTTCAACCCCTACTCAGGCAGGAAACCCTATACCATTTCAGACAAATGGCTGTCCAGTCTTTTCTTAAAAAGTTCCAGTGTTGGAGCATTCACAGCTTCTGGAGGCAGGTTGTTCCACTGATTAATTGTTCTAACTGTCAGGAAATTCCTCCTTAGTTCTAGGTTGCTTCTCTCTTTGGTTAATTTCCATCCATTGCTTCTTGTCTTGCCTTCAGGTGCTTTGGATAATAGCTTGACTCCCTTTTCTTTGTGGCAGCCCTGAGATATTGGAACACTGCTATCATGTCACCCCTCATCCTTCTCTTCATTAAACTGGACATCTCCAATTCTAGCAACCGTTCCTTATATGTTTTAGCCTCCAGTTCCCTAATCATCTTTGTTGCTCTTCTCTGTACTCTTTCTAGAGTCTCAACATCTTTTTTACATCGTGGTGACCATATGTTGAAAAGGCACAAATACTTCATGTGTGATTAAATATACTTATTAATAGTTCTACGAGAAATTCTTCTCTTACCATCAAGATAACAAATTGAATAATTTATTTTTAGAAACTTAAACTTTTTTCTCCTACTGAACAATTTTGTAATTTTCATAATTAAATTTAATAATGAGCATTTGTTTAAAAAAAACTAAACAAAAATACATTTCTGGTGCATTTCATGGTTCATTGACAATTTTAAAAAATCATGTATTGATAAAATACCTTAATTTAATTTATAAGTACATTATAAGGGATTATCCCTAAATTAACATTCTTTATCTGAAAAAAATTGTATATAAAAGCCCTGCTTAAATATTCAAATTTTGATGAATTCTGTGTAAGCTAACTTACGCTCTCAGATAAAAGTAATTAGATTTTAGAAGACATTTGTTTTCTATAAGAGCTTGTATTGGAGGGGAAGAACAGAGGGAGAATAAGCTATTATTAATCAATTTCTTTCCTTCATGTAAAAAGAAGAGATTGTGTGAACTGTACTCCATTTTATAGAATGCAGGGAATGGTCAACATATTTATTTTATCAGCTGTGCAACAGATGTGAATGAAGTCAACACTCTTGTATTGAAACATACTTGATTTTTTTTGTCTTGCTGGATAGTTCTCTTTAAATCCTGTTTAGAGAGGATTTCAAGAAATTATCATAAACTTTCAGCAATCTCTTTAACCCAGAGGTCTCCAACCTTTTGGGTACCAGGTTCTGTGGAGACAGGTTTTCCCATGGACCAGAGAGTGCGTGGTTTTGTGTGCTGCCTGCATCCCATGGATGGGGCTTTGCTTGTTTGTGAAGACCAGTTGCTGGCATGTCGCGGCCCAGTACCGGGGGTTAGGGACCCCTGCTTTAACCTATTTATGAAAAAATTGGGGTATAAGTTAAGAAAAAAATCTCTAAACTGTAACAACATAAGTAAATATATTGTTTCTAGCAGATCATATTGAAATTTCTAGCAAACAAATTATAGGCTTGTGCCATGATATAATATATATTAGAGATATGAACCTATGGTGACTCGTTCAACATACCGTGACTTTTTGTAAGACATAAACCCAATCTTTTGGGCTCCTAAACAATAAGCAAAAAGGTGGGACTGGTTTTGGCTTAATATGCTTTGTGAACTCAGCTATTCTGGCTTGCTCCATAATAAAGTGATAAAAATAATCCATGAGTTAACCCATTGTATGAATCCATCTATCATTCAAACTTATGGAAGCAAAGTTTATTTAGCACAATTTACTTCCCAATCACTATTTAAGATGGTAATTTTAAATAAATAATTTCCAACACAATGAAGTGTTGCCTTTGTTGATGAGATGGAATTAATGTTCATTATATTTTTTTCCAATTTGTTTTCCAAAGCACTAAAATGAAGGTAACTTGGGCTTGGAGACTGTACATCCAAAGGCTGGACTAAATTTATAAGGGATCATGGAGGGAAGTTTATACATTCAGCCAGGACGGGGGCTTAACCTCTGCACTTTCTGATGGTAGGAAAGTTCCCGTGATTTCCTCATGGATAGGTTGATTATTTAAAAACCATAAATACAAATCATAATCTTTCATTGATGCTGCATGTGCAGAAGGACATAATATAATGTGATATATTTTTGTCTGTCTGTCTAACCTTTCTTCTACCTGTCTGTCTCATTAATTCCAGGAGCTGTGTCAGTGCCGACCTGGTGAAGGAAACTGTTCTTGCTGTAAGGAGTGCATGCTTTGTCTAGGCACGCTTTGGGATGAATGCTGTGACTGTGTTGGTGAGTTCATTTTTTCCCCCACCTATGCCAAAAACAGCTTCTTTCAGTAGTAATTTTCAATTATTTAGCATTTTTTAAGGTTTATGCCAAAAGTAGCTCCAGGTAGAATAATGGGTATTTTATATTTAATTCAGTGTATATATGAGTTTAAGATTAACTATTTATTAAGGAGGAAGTTATTCATGAAGTGCTTTAAACCAAAATTCATGAAATGTGTACCTCATCCTATATTGGAGGAAGACACTTTTATTAGGATTGAGAAAAGATAGTGTATGCTGCAAATCTTTCTGAAAAACATTGTTTTGACCAGTTGTTTTCAAAGTTGGAAAAATTGTGGTTCAAGACATGCAACCTGCTAGATTAGACTAAAACAGGCTTATACGGTTTGTGAGTCAGCATGTAGGAAGCCAGTCACTGTATGTTGAATATTGTTTGAACAATGCAAAAATCTGAAACTTTGTTTTGAAATGTTTAATTTTAATTTAATTTGAAACTTTTTATTTGTTTGAATGTATAATATACTATGCAGACAGAGGAATTAATGTTTAGTTAACCCAACCACAACTTCTTGTGTGACATCCCCCCAGCTATCATTATCGTCTGAAGTGCTTAATGCATCTTTCTTCAGTTTTTCATTGCTATTAAATGTTCACGAATGGCACATGCCATATCTGCTTATGGGAATATGCCCATAGCAGTGGACAGAACAAAGCTGAGGATTTATTAATGTTGATTGATGAGAAGAAACCTCAGCTTGGTACTTTCAGCTGATATTAAATGCTAAATTCCCAACTGTAATGAATTACGTTGAGGCCTTAAGGAAAGCTGAGTCTTCATTTTCTAATGTTGTTTTGGGGAAAGATGATCCATTCCACATATTTTATGGCTGCATCATACTGTGATAGTGTTGATCTGCTGGATGTCGCGAAGGAGCTTATTCTTGCTGCAATCTGCCAAGCCAATCTGAGAACGAATTGTTTGTTTTATGAAGACTTACTGAGATAGAGTTAGGATTCATCACAAGCTACATTTGTTTGAAAAGAGAGCGAGGAATCTGTTTTTAGGAGTCTCTAGGCCAATTCATAAATTATGGGAGAAATTAGATTGCTGTTTCCTATAATTTGAATTATATGTCACTGCAATATCAGTAAAAAGGAGCTATAGAATATAGGAAATTCTTATAATTATTTACTACAAAAAACAAAAAACCCAGCAACTCCCTAGGAAAGTAATAGACAACACTGGTATGGAAAAAATGTGCTAGCCACCCACCCCTATTGCTTTTAATTAATGTTACTGTAGTGATTTGGCTGGAGTGATTTATCCTGTTCCAATAATTAAGTGAAATTCTGCTTGGAAGAATTGTTGGATAAGAAAGCTTCCTTTCTTGTAAGGAAGCCAAATCTTCCTAGTCGAAGAATGGAAGGTGCAAAAAAGTAGTGCCAGGGTTAAACTCCAGTGAGGAATTAAAGGGGGTTGATAGAGGACAGTCAACTGCACATTAAGCTAGTTATGCAGTAATCAATTCTTATCTAGCCTCACTGTTTTACTGACTCCACTGCTAGTGTAGATTCTTTTGAAACTCAAGCAGGGAGATTTAAATGTCACTGCTGATTTATAATTTTCAGTAGATATGAACTGCAACATTTAGTGTACTTCCCCTTACCTCAAAGTTACAAACTATATATCTAACACTATTATTTTAGATATTGTTACATTTCTGAGTGCTAGATTTACCCAGGTGTTAATTGTTCTGGCCAACTGTCTCTAAGGACAAGGACTTCTTTTTCTATTCATCTATATTGTCCTATTTTTTAAAAAATGCAAAATTGAGTTGTTCTGAGCCGTCATCAAAAAACAGGCTACGCATTTATGAACCTCAACAAAGTAAAGCTTGCCCAGGTGTACAATTGTGTTCTGCTGTACAAAATAGAAAAAGGAAAAATATACAACAATGCTGTAGCTATGATTAGCTAAGGACACAATAGAGAACAAGGGATCAGGTGCTTGAATTGCCTCTGACAAATTTTGGATTTGTACTATCTAATGTTTATACTAAAGTTCATTAGGTGATTATTATTAAATTATTAAATTCGGGGTGATTATGCTATTTGAATTTTATATTGCTGCTTACATGTTACTATGTACTTATGTGTTACTATGTTACTATGGGAAACCATAGCAAACTGAACACACATGTTCTTAAGATCTGTTCGAGGAAGAAAACTGAAAAAAAAAATTACTGTAGATCATGCCCTAATTAAAAAGGAAAAGCAGCTATGAGCACAAACACTATATAACTGGGGTGTCAAACTGCCAGCCTGCGGGCCGGATGCATCATAGCGAAACTGCGCCCACCCCATTGCTAGCAATGACAAAATAGTCATGATACATCACATGACATTGGGAGTTTGACATCCCCTGCTATATAATGACAATACTTTTCCATATAATGTTCAGTGTTTCCTTGCAAACATAGTAGACCATTAGAGAGGCATAATGCAACAAAAACAAAAAGATATTTGAACTATATACATAGGTAGTCCTTGAATTACAATCATTTGTTTAGCGACCATTCAGATTTACAGCATCACTGAAAAATGCAAGCAAACAAGTGTTCCTCGCACTTACCACCATCACAGCATCCCACAATCGTGTGATCAAAATTTGGGCACTTGGCAACCAACATCTATTTATGACAGTTGCAATGGAGTCAATGGGAGAAGCCAGATTTGCTTAGTGACCACATGATTTACTTAACTGCAGTGATTCACTTAACAACTATGGCAAAAAAGGTCATGAAATTGGTCATGAAACACTTAACAACCCCCTTGCTTAATAACTGAAATCTTGGTCTCAATTATGGACATAAGTTGAGGACTACCTTTAAGTGTTTCCCTTGCATTGTATATTGTTAAAATGTAATGCTAAACATTTACACATGGTGTAAATTAAATAGTCCATTGTATAATATATGTTACAGCTAGAACAGATTGTTAGATATGTACTAATATTTGTCAGATACTATCAGCAGGCATCTACAAAGTATTTCCACTTTAGTTATTGAAATAATTACTTAAGATGTTCTCTTGAAACTTTATTTTAGTGGATGCATTGTATTTTTATAGTTAGCAGAATACATTAAGGATTGTATTGAGTACTTCAGAAGTCAAAGGCAGCGAAACAGTTTTTCAGACTGTAATTTCATATTTAATTATTTAATTATTTTTAAATTGTGGTAAAAATTAATTCATATGCCTTGCTGTCTTCAGGGAAGAGTAAGATTCTGGTGCACTAGCTCACTATTGGTGAATTAACACATTCTTTTTTAAAATATTCAACATAAGTTGTGAATGCAATAACTTCCAGGAATATAATAAGCAGTTGCTACGAAATAGGTGTACTAGAACAGTGGTGGCGAACCTAAGGCATGGGTGCCAGAGGCAGCACTCAGAACCCTCTCTGTGGGCATGCATGCCGTTGCCCCAGTCCTAGGCCTTCAGCTGGGTTTTATAAAACCTTTTCACTTTAGGCTTCCGCCTAAAAAGGTTCAATCAATCAATCAATTTCAACTTCTCACGGGGAAAAAAAAGATCTTGCAAAGTTGGAATTGATTGATTGAATTTTTTAGTCCCACCCAGTCTGCTGTTACCACTGCAGCCACATCTACCCAATGGGCCACACCCACCTAATGAGCCACACCCACCCGGCACCCAACGATGCATAAGTGGGTTTGGGTTGCAGTTTGGGCACTCGGTCTCTAAAAGGTTCACCATCACTGTACTAGCATGTCCGAAGATATGAATATGGCCTTGTCTTTGATTTATGGTCCCAATCTGGTAAAAGGATTGCATTTATTGATTGAAGCAACATGTCTTGATTTGTAATCAAATAAAGTATTATCTGAATAGTCATAATTCATTATGCTGTCAAATTCAAATATTATACTACTGGGCCTTGAGCCATTCAGAACTGGGCCGTGGTGTGTGTGCATGTGCATCCCCACTTGCGTGAGCAATGGGTGAGCGTGTGCATTCCATTTGCATGAGCAGCTGCTCTTCATGCCCGCCGCTCGCATGAAACCATTCCTCCCCCCCTTCCTTGCTGGTCCACAAAGCCGAAAAGGTTGGGGAAGTCTGCTCCATGCCATCTCCATCATTTCTCATCCTTTTTTGGAGAGAGGAGATCAGATTACATTGATACTGTGGTATTGTTTGCTGCAATTGCTGTGTTAAAAAGCATCTGGATGGTAGATCCATGGTCTCTTCTTCTCCAGCCTAAACAAGATGAAAAGTTCCTTTGTTCTCACTGAAAGACTCTCAATCTGTTAAAATGCAGTTTGTGGTATTTGGATTTTTGTGTATATTATATTGGAAAATTTTATGACAGGACTAAGAAAATTTCTATAGGTAGACCTCAACAACAGTTTGTTTAATGACGATTCGAAATTACAACATAGATGAAAAAAAGTGATTTATGACCATTTTTTATGACAGCTGTGGCATCTCCATGGTCACGTGATCAGAATTCAGATACTTGGCAGCCAACTCATATTTATGATGGTCGTATGATTTTTTGTGACCTTCTGACAAGCAAGAAGATTAATAGGGAAGCCAGATTCACTTAACAACCGCGTTACTAACTTAACCACTGCAATGATTCACTTAACAATTGTGGCAAAAAAGATCATGAATTGAGCAAAACTCAGTTAACAATTGTCTTGCTTAGCCACAGAAATTTTGGGCTCAATTGTAATCATAATTTGAGGACTACCTGGTTTTTAAAAAAGAGAAAAAAAAGAAAACGCTTTTATAAATCCATTTTACAGCAAAATTTAATCTCAGAAGCAGCTTTTGTAAGTGCCTATAAGGTTGTTAATGTCAACTTTTCTAATGTTATTTCTCAAATATTCTTACGGGCACCTGTTGTTGAACAACTTGTCTACAGGTATGTGTAACCCTCGGAATTATAGTGACACACCTCCCACTTCGAAAAGTACCGTGGAAGAGCTGCATGAGCCAATCCCTTCCCTTTTCCGAGCACTTACAGAAGGCGATACTAACCTGAACTGGAAAATTGTGTCCTTTCCCGTTGCAGAGGAACTATCACATCATGAGAATTTAGTCTCAATTTTAGAAACTGTGAACCATCCCCAGCATCAGAATGCGTCCGTTTCAAACAACGTTCATCCTCCATATTCTAGTGAAAAAGGTAAAATATTGTTGTTGAAAGACTGATATTTTTTTTGTGGTGTTTGCTAGTTTAAGTTTTTAAAATGTGGTGTGGTGATTTTCATCTTATTTTTAAAAATCGCATAAATATGATCTCTGTTCTAAAATAGGGAAAACATATGAAATATGAGCAGTGATCTAATATATTATTATAGGAAAACAGATGGTACATGAAACCACTAACTTAGGAGTTTGGCAGAAGTTTTATTTGAGTGATCTGTGATTTAGACTTTGGTCAACAAACTAAAATCTATCTTCTGTTTTGGTTACTTAGAACGCATATGTACTGTGGTTTACTTTGATGACTGCCTGTCGATACACCAATGCAAGATCTCTTGTGATTCTATGGGTGCTTCCAAATACCGATGGTTTCACAACGCCTGCTGTGAATGTATTGGACCTGAATGTGTCGACTATGGGAGTAAAATTGTAAGATGCTCAAACTGTATGTTCTGAAACTAAACCATTCAATTTTAATATGGCAGACACCAAAGAATGTATGTGGGGGGGGGGAGGAGAAGAGGGAGGTATACTTTGCATATATTACTTTGGATGGTATAGCTGCAGCACAGTTGAAAGGACCTAGACATGTATAATATTTTAAATATGTAATTTTACACTTTAAGTTGTTGGAACAATTAATTAGTACATGTTTAGATTTGGTTTTGATTGGGCAATGTATGAAGTTTCATAATTTGAATTTTATTTCAGGCTATTGATTAATTTGCAAGTATGACCTTAAATAGATTGATCATGAAGTTTTGCCAGAATCATAATTTGGAGTTCTGAATTAAATTACATTTTTGAGCTTTTCACATGTGCCAGTTGTGAACTGTAAATTGCTTTTATAGACCATGCAGATTACCTGTCACTTCAGCAATAGCTATTTATTTTTAAGAAAGAAAAGGAATTTAGATTGCTTTTTTGTTTTAAGAATTTACCCTCCTTATAAAAAAAATGTATATATTTAACTATATCCTTTTCATTGCACCTTTCTTTTCTTTGCTTCCTTAACTCTTGACCTCAGCTAGTTTGTTTGAACAAAATGGAAAGAGTTTGGGATATTACATTATAAATCATAGTAATTCAGAAAATTTAGATTAAAACAATATGAGGTTTAGATTAAATAGGAAATTATTTTAAAAATTATAGTCAGTGCTATCTACTAAATTTTATATACATTTTCCCATTTCCAGTTATAGATTCCCATAATACACTATTAATTGTTAGTGTTAACAAACTGCTTAATTTATTACTGTCATTTGCTGTTTATGGAAACTATACTTTTATTTGAAAATATGTCTAGAAATTGATCTTTTTCTGGTTTTTAATAAGTGATTTCATCCAGGTGAAGATTGTAAAGAAATGATTATTATTCTCAAAGATTACAGCAGGATTTTTCAAACTTTTTCAGTGGAACCTATTAAGAAAAAAATTTCCTAGAATTCCTGATCAAAACACAAGGTTTAGTGATAAAAATGGGCTGTGTTCAAGTCTCCATAGAATCTTTTTTTTTTCTACAGAACATATTTAAACTAATTCTGGAGGAGAGGAACAGTCAGTTGCTAAATAGGGTCCTGTAATTCCTGTTCCCATCTCCAACAGATGTTGGCGATTTAGTCAAACTTGTTTCTACTGTTATGCATTTATCAAGTGAATTAACATCACACAGCATCACATGGAACAGTTGTTTTCCAGGCATTCAGTGCCCAGATGAAAGTACCAGTAGTCCTTGATTTATGACCATAATGGAGCCTGGAATTTCTTAAATTATGACGGTTGTAAGCTGAGGCACTCATATGAATGGACCTGATCCTCATGTATGTTTTTTTGTGGTTATCATTAAAGTGAATGCTGCAAATGTTAAGTAAACACTGCAGTTGGTAAGCAAATCCATATATTCCTGTGGGATTTTTTTTTTGCCAGATTCTGCCTGAAAAGGTCAGAATATTGTAAACATTGTAAATCATGGTCATGTGACTGTGAAATGCTGCAACCAGCTATAAAAATGATCCAGTTATCAAGCACCTGAAATGTGGTCATGTGACAGAAGGGTGTGCAGTCATCAAACTGGGTTGTAAGTAGCTTTTAAATGGGAGGTTTGTCTTCAAACAATCACTTGGTACGATTAAGACAAAACAAGATTACCTGTATTGTATATTTCTACATGTGAGCTAAGTTAACCGTTGGTATATTTTATCTAATTTAAGACTGTCTGAGTGGTAAACCTCAAATGCTTTTCATTCAGAACTATTATACAGTTGTAACACTGGATTTCCATGGAGAAAAGATATATAATTGCTTAAAGAAAGAATCTGTATATACAGTGTTTCTTCTTCCTTTGAATATTCTAATTCATTTATTTTGCAAATAAGTGATCTTACATCTTTGCTGGCTGGGGAATTCTGGGAGTTGAAGTCCACACATCTGAAAGTTGCCAAGATTGAGAAACATTGTTGTAGACAATAATTCCATTGTATTATTTTTAATTTCTCCAAACATTCAGGGCAACCAATTAAATGTTGTGGGCTGTATCTTACGAATTAAGAGATAATGAAATCAGGAACTTGGGCAAGCACTGCAAGTACCTTCAAATTTGGAAGGGGGTGGGTGGGATTTAGTTCTCTCAATTACAGCTTCATTAATACACAGATGACCATATTCAGCAGCTCCGCCAACTCCATGTAGAATTCTTTGATTTTATAATGTAGTATTGACGGTACACTTTACGGTCTTGCTTCCTGGAAGAAACAGTAACAGTCCTATGTAATTTAACTTGATTCTATTTATAACAGAAAATTATACCTTAAAAATGGAGGACTGGTATAACAAGTTATGTAATCCAGTAGCATTTAGTCAATTGGCAATGTATTGCAATAGGAAATCTGTTCTATAAAGTGAGAAAGAAAATTGTTCAATTTAATAGTCTCAAGAGTAAAAAAAAACTTTATTTAATTTTGAATGCTCAGCCTGTAAAATGCATAATTCTGATTATTTTCTCATTCTGTTATGGTAGATTTGTGAGATTATTGTAATAGTTTAAAAATATTGCAAGAAATAATTGAATTTGGAATAACTCTTTGTTGCTTATTGTAGAAATTCTTCAACCTTTAAATATATATTAGAAAGAGTGGTTCTGTTAATCTAGAATTCATAATACAATTAAAATCATCTTCCAGATATGTATGCAATTACAGTAACAATTTACAACTATATTAAGTATTTTCTTGTTTTTTATATTTTCCAGGAATTTTAATAAAAATTTTAATAAACAACACCTTGTTTATCTATTTTGCTCATTGTTTTCTGCTTTAATCTGTGGAGGAATTAATATTAGTTTGCTTGTAGAAATTTTTATATTAAAAATGGCAAGCTTGCACTATTGCTAACAAAACTACATGCAGGTCTCAATGAAATCACCAAGGGTAAGTTTGACTCAAAGGAGAATTTGCTTTAGCCATTCTGAATGTCTTTAGTGCAGCAAACTAGGATAAAAATATTTTACAAAATGGGTACATTTAATAGAATAGATATACGTAGATACTTTATAGTCAGAGGTCAGGCTCAGATATGGATAGAAGCTGTATTGCTTTAGTTCAGGGGTCTTCAAACTTGGCCCTTTTATGACTTGTGGACTTCAACTCCCAGAATTCCTCAGCCAGGCATACTGGCTGAGGAATTCTGGGAGTTGAAATCCACAAATCATAAAAGGGCCAAGTTTGAAGACCCCTGCTTTAGTTGATTAATTATCGTTGTCAGGTCCTAGGTAGAGGATGTGCCTACACAATGGATGTGAGCTTTCTCTCCTCCTAAATCAATCAGCAGCCTTTGATATCATTAACCATGACGTCAGTCTGAACCACCTACAAGATTTAGTATTTGGGAGCCTGTTTACAGTGGTTCTGCTCCTTTCTCAGTGGAAGAAAACAAATCATTCTAATAGCCTATGACAGTGGTGGCGAACTTATGGCACAAGTGCCAGAGACGGCACTCAGAGCCCTCTCCATGGGCACACATGCCATCACTTCAGCCCTGCCTCCCCGTGGCCCCCTCCTCACCAGCAGCCGCCCCGGAGGAGAGTCGCCCCTGGGTGAAGCCTGCGTGGAGCAGAGCAGCCAAGAACATGGCAGCCGGGCAGCAGGGACAAGACTCCTCCCTCATGCCTCGTCACGCGCAGATGATGCGGTGGGACGTGGGCGGAGGGCATGGCCATGATGCTGCAGGGCCGCCTGGGCGATCTCCGGTGGGCCCTGGAAGTGGTGGTTGGCCCTGCGGGTCGGGGTGGTTTTGGGGCACTCAGTCTCTAAAAGGTTCTCCATCACTGGCCTATGATGTATGAAGTGCCATAGGGTTCCACTTTCTTTAACTCTACATGAAGTCGTTGAGAGAAGTCATCCTTTGATTTGGAGTAAAATGATATTCTTGTGATACCAACTTTATGTCCCCAACTAAGGCTGCATCCGTGATCAGGTTGAGACTGAAGGAGAATTTGGGGGCTCAAGCTAAAAATCCCTAATCCCTATCCCAAATACACTTTCCCAAGGAAATTAATATTGTCAGCCAGGAAACATTTAGAAAACCGAGGAATGCTGATATGCTAGGGAAAAAAATGAGATGGTGGTAGGACATAGGTGGTGATCAGTGTTCTGAGAAAGCAAAAGAAACTCCCTGGAAAGAAACTTATGTTCATAGAATAATGCCTCTTTATTATTTCAAAACCCCATTGTCTTTATGGTTCTGCCCTGTCATCTTTTAATTACATTCTAATGTTTCACTGACCTCACTAGGCACCTGATACAGGTAGGCATCATTGACTTACAACCAGTTAGGGCCAGAATTTCCATTGTTAAGCAAAGCTGTTGTTAAGTGATTTGTGCCCAGTTTTACAACCTTTTTTTGCCTCTGTTGTTAAGCGAATCACTGTAGTTAAATGAATCAATCGATCATTAAGCAAATCCAGTTTTCCCGATTGATCTTGCTCACCAAAAGCTGGCTGTGAAGGTTGCAAATGACAATCATGGGACCCCAGGACACTGCAACCATCATAAATACATGTCAGTTGCATGAATTTTGATCATGTGGCTGTGAGGATGCTGTGATAGTTGTGTGAGAACTGGAAGTAAGTCACTTTTTTCAGTGATGTTGTAACTTGGAATAATCGCTAAATGAATGGTTGTAGGTTGAGGACTACCTGTACCACATTAAATACCTTGCTAATTGAGGTATACAATCCCATATATAATTCGCATAAGTCTATAAGTCTTCCTTAGCCTTGTCCTTGATGCCAGCAGTCAATTGTGCTTCAATGTAAATTGTGCTTCAATGTAAAGTGTCCTGGTCTCCTATTCAGATGAACCCCCCAGGAAAATCTTTGTGCTTTGATTATCATCTGAGGCTAGACTGGAATTATGTGGAAGTCTTGGCCTGGTGGTAGAAAGCTGTGAGGGCTTGCACGCATCAAAATAAGCTCATGTTAAATCCCTGCAAGAAGTTTCTGTTCTTGGTGATAGATCTGTCTCTGTTACAACTTTGATTCTGGACAAAGTTACACTTTCCTAAAGATAGCTCTACAATTTGGCAGAGTCCTCTTGGACTTACAATTCCTATTAGAATAGCAGGCTGGGGAGCCTCTGTCCAGTTTCATCTTGTAGCACTTATGGATCTTTTTGGACCAGGAAATATCAATGATTTGTGTGCTCAGCACCTTTAGTCTAAATTACAGCAACTCAGTATAGAAAGCGGTTCCCTTGAAGATGATTCAGAAGCTTCAGTTGATCTTGTCTGAGACGGTATAGGCTCTCCTGCTTGAGCACGGGGCTGGACTAGACCTCCAAGATCCCTTCCAGCTTCTATTCTACTCTACTCTACTCTATATCACAATGGCCTTGCAGTGTGAAAATGTATGCATTAATACTAATGCTACAGTCATAATGGCTGCCAACTTGTTTTGGGACTCAAAAGTGCTAGTTAATTCAAAATCCTACATGATTCTGCTCCTAGGTATTTACAGGACTCTTTCAACAGGAATTTGACTCTACTACACATTCTTTTACAGAGGTTACAGTATGCTGGGCATCGGATTCCATATGAAACGAAGCAGATGGGCCACAACAATGGACCTTCTTGTTGGTTTTGGTGATTGAAATGCTCATCTGCTGATCTTTCGGAAGGCCCTTAAGATCTGTTATTTTACAGGACATTTAGATATTAAGGCTGTCAGGGCTGCCTTAGCTGATGGATTTGTTTTGACTTTTCTTACTTCTTGAATTTTATTTATTTATTTAAACAAACAAGGGTAACATAAAATGAAAATATCCCATTAAAATAAATTTTCAACAAACAATTCAAATTTTACTTTTTTAAAAATTAAAAATAACTACATATCAAGCAAATTCCTTTTAAAGAGTGTCCATCTAAGCCAAACTGTGCTGTTCAGTTTTTAAATTTTAATCTGATTTTTATATTGGTTACAAATTTGAATGGTCTTTTATTTAAGCTCAGTATATGTATATTTGTGTTTATATTTACAATATTGAAATAAGGGTAGTGGAAAAGCTTGAGTGAATTATGTAAAAAATCTTATGTACACATAGATACATGCACATCTTTCTGTCAGTAAACAGGGTTACTGTGTACTTAAAAGCTTTATCAGAGAGTAAGGAATTTCTGCATTTTTAAAAGACATGGAAAATTACACACAAAATACAGGCAACTATTATTTTAACATAATTTACATACTCTGTAAACAGAGCACAGCTATTTAGAATAACATCTAGTGTGAAAGAAGCCCAGTAAAGTTGAAAAAGCAGTGCGCTGACTCTAGTTAGACATAATAAATGGCAGAATTATTCCGAGCCAAAACATTCCACTCTTGTACATAAGAGTTAATAAAAATAACTAGCTAAGGATGTTTGTAATGTTAATACAAGAAGATTAAATTAAATTGGGGAAAGTCTTGGTACGGAATTTCTGTGGTTTCCGAAAAGCATTCCAAAAAGGTTATTCTCTGGAAGGGGAGACAAAGTCCAGTTCTGTAGATATGTTCCAGGGGAGGGATACCTGGTCCTCAGTGATGTCTAATCTAATAGTGAGGATGCAGGGTTTTAATTCAGCTTTTGATCACGGTTCAATAATAATTTTGAAACATTCTGATTACTTAGAAAACATTAAGAATGACTGCTGACTATCCACCACTGAACATGGCAAGGAGATCCGGAAGGGGCCTCGCTATCTCCCTACTAGAGATACATTGGCTACCAAAGCCAATAATGCCTCTAAAATAGCACTGGATTTTGCCTCCTCTGTCAATGAACTGTGTGCCCAGAATTCCTTCCTGGGAGCAAGAGAGGAAGATGAAAATCTACAGAGCTAGGAGCTACCCCACAATGGCAAACCCTCAATGAAAGAAGCAAAATTGGCAGGCAGACTGAAGGAGATCTCAGAGCAAAATGGGAATATAGCCAACACTGAAACTGACTGGTAAGCATTCATTCAGTTGCATTTCTTCTCTTACCTCCCTGGCTTCAGACCTGAGGATAAGATATGAATTATATGAGCTATGATCTAGTCTAATCCTAATCCATAAAACCAGGAAATACGTTCTAACCCATACTCAGGGTGCCGGGCTGGAGAAAAAGCCAAGTTTTCAAGGCCTCGTGAAAAGCCAACAGGAATGGGGCCAATCTAATCTCAGGTGGAATAATGTTCCAAAGGACAAGTGCCAGAGCAGAAAATGTTTTTCTTCTGGTTTCCGTCAAACAATATTGTCTGATGGTACCTGGAGCATGCTTTTTCTGCTCAATCGTATAGGACAGGTAAAAACAATTGAGAAGAGATGTCCTATAAATAATCTGGCGGTGAAAACCAGCATCTTGAATTGCAGGAGCACTTCAGAAGCCAATGCAGCTCATGGAACAGTTGTGTCACATGTGACAAATAACCGGCACGAGTATCTGCCCATGCTGTCATATTTTACTCCAGTTGAAGCTTCTGAATATGCTTCAAAGGCAGCTCCACATAAAATGTATTGCTGTAGTCCAACCTGGATGTCACAAGGGCAGGAGTGATCATGAGCAGGGTCCCCATTCTAAGAACAGGCATACCCCTCAGTTGTGCAAAGGGCCTGGTAACCATGACTGCTATCTGCACTTCAAGCAGGAGTCGTGAGCCCCAAAAGACCTTCAGACTGTGCAGTAAGTCTGTCTGGGGCTATGCCACTCCATCTAGAACAGTGGTTCTCAACCTTTTTAATGCCTCGAACCCCAAACGGTCGTAA